CCACCACTACCGTGCGACATGCGGCCGATCAAATTCAGCCCTCACATACGGAACAAAGAGTCATGCACACTCGGAATGAAGCCATTCAAAATTTGGGTCGTTGCCAAGATTGCCAACTCCACGGACTGATAGTGCGATCTCCCCCCAAAAGTACTTAGGGTTGAACTCTAATTGGATATCACTCGCAGCATTCGCTACAGCACGCACCGACTCCACACGAGGAACCAAACCTTGTTCAGCTGTCGCGGATTGCTACAGCCTACAGTGGTGTGCGGCAGGCTCCCGGGGTTGCATGTATTATTATCCCACGGTGAAACTCTTTGTACATGTGTCAAACACCTGTGTTACCAGGAGCGGAGTCTGGGAGCAATCGTGGGTCGCGGGCATCTGGGAATGCTTCATGTCATGGACGGGCAACAGATCTCTAACCCGCGATTGGTAATCGGGGAAAGAAGGAGGGATGTGCAGGGCCAAAGGATGGTCCTTCATGATCGACGCGAGCGCGTCCCCCGCGGAATCGACCTCCGGAGAAAGAGTGGGACTTGGATTCCTATCTGCACAATGCACAATACATGCGCCCTGCCAGACAATAGCTCGTTGCCTTGGTGGTGGGGATGTCTGAGAGTGAGAGAAAGGCAAGAGCAAATCAAGGACCCCCACGTCCGACGGATACCTGTGTCTCATACTCCGACTCGTGCGGCCGGGGCAAAAAATGGCATGATGGTGGATTGGTATCAGATAAGAACTCGAGATGGGATGGGGGGGCAACGAGCTCCGTTCCATGGATCGCGTGGCCCATTCTTCCACTTCTCCAGCACAATACGAAAAACCAAGCACTGGGCAAGTCCCAGAATGAACAATGCACACGCCAAAAATGGCCATCGTCATTATCTATTACGCGAGGCGGTCAAAAATAAAAACCAATAACAGCACCGCGGGTTGGTTGATCACACGGGAAGCTGGACCGGACCGATAACTAGGTACTCCGTACAATGCTCCTAGACTTCCAGCTGCCAACTTTTTTTTTTCGCTTTCTGCAAGGACCTTCTGGGCTTCAATTTGATTGGAACCATGGATCGATGTCAAGCCTCACACGTATGAGTATGTACCGCTGGTTTATTTTTGTTTCTTCGGGGTTGGGGTTTGATTGGAATAGGCAGGCACAGACGGTTTGATTGCTGGGATTGGGGGGCCTCTATGCGAGCCGAGCAAGCAAGTGAGCAAGCAAGCGAGTCAGCGAGGCGACGCGAACAACGAGAGGAGAGCAAGGACGCCCGCTCTGATAGCGGTGCTTGATGATTGCTGGTGTTGCATGCAACATCAATCCATCCATTCGATAGAGAACGCGACGAGCAAATTCTGCAGCTGCAAACTATGCAGCCTGCTGCAGGGCTTACTGGCTTAGCTGACTAGTGTGGCCTACACTCTGCAGGTTTGCACCACCAGCGCACAGCCCCATGACCATCTCAATCGGGCTGAGCAATTGCCTTCAGGATCTTACGAATTACGACGACTTTCAGGCCCCAAAGCAAGCCGTCCTAGACAAGCATGAGGACCAAAGTCCCGTCAGCGACCCTTCTTCTCCCTCCGCCCCATGACCACTGCATTAGTCCCTTCCCAGAGCATATTCAGAACATCTACTCGACCCCCCGGATCTCTCCATCTTAGATAAGTTGATCTATAGTCGTACGCCTGGACCGCGATTATCTGACCATGGGGCCGGACATGGGGCCGTCCGGGCCGGAATCAGCGAAGGAAGCGAGGCTTGCAGAAGTCCCTTTTGTCCTTCTTCACACCACATAAGCATCCTTCAGGAATCCTTCCGGGCATGGATGACAAAAGATGAGGGGGGGGCAAACAAGACGTGCCTTTGGGAGCTGGGGCTAGCAGCGTTTGACGCCACTGGCAAAAGCAAAAAGAGAAACATGTATTGGAGGGGAAGGGAAAAGCAAATATCGACCCCAAAATATCAGACTGAAGAATCCTGGATATTGAACGACAAGCAAACCGGCATGAACTACCGATAAGCAAGCACACAAATACACATAAAGAAACATGAGGCAGAGAGAATTTTATCGGTCGATACGCAAAAGCAGAATGAGGCAGAAAAAAAAGGAAGAAAAAAGGGAAACAGGCCTCAGTGGATGGTAGTTTAGATCAAGCTCCCCTTGATCGTGGGGAGTCAGTCTCTTCCTATCATATGTTTATACATCCAATGTGTCTCATCATCAGCCCATAATAATATGATTGTGGGAGAAGAAGAAGAAACGAGATAACCCAGGAAAAAAAAAAAGACGAGCATCGCGCTCACCGCCCTCCAGCCTCCCCTCACAATCCCACTAAGCCTCTTCCGTAACCCTCAACGACCGACTTAACCGAGCCTCTTCTCCGGACTAACTCAATCCTCCGCTCCGTCCCCACACCAGCACTATAAAAACTCCTCCTGCTTGTCGACCACCACATTTTTCTTTTTCCTTTTCTTTCTTCGTGCGGCGACGCAGCTATTACATTCACCCGTGTTGCCTGGACATCATTCTTTACCGTGATGTTTTTTTCCCAGGTGTCAGTTGCGTCACAGACGAACGGAATTGCACACCGGTTCTACTTTATTGGTCTTTCTGAATTTTTCCTACTAGGATGAGACCATTTGGTTTGGGATCGGACATTTCAAATTTTCTCTCCGGCGTTTTGCTTTCTTTTGAAAGCTTCGCCGGCGGGATTATTGCTTGTAGATTGGGTCTTGCGTGCAAGAGACTCGTAGTTTTCATAGAAATAGTGGGATAATCTTGGAGATCATTCTCGGCGATACGGACCTATGTCTGGATTGTTGCTAGCAGCAGTACATGATATCATTTGCTTCGTGGTATCCATGGTGATCTTGTATGTTCGGTCTCTAGTACAGTACTTCTTCGAGGGGCACTGTATTTGCTGTTGTCTGTTGGCACACCATGCAAGTTCTATCTGCGTGCACACTTCAAAGCCCGCCAGCATGAACATTCCGCCCAAGAAACTCCGCGGGCACATGCCAAGTACGGAGTACAATACATACGTACAGATTACACACGCCTCGCTTGGAGCCTCTCTCTACTATTTACTTACTCCCCGGGCTCATCGCCAATCTTCTCCAACTTGCCCATTTCCCGCTTCTCCCCGGCCTCGCCGAAGATCCGGATCCTGTCCACGCGCAACTTCTCACTGTCCCCATCGCCGTCCACAAAGAAGATCACCAGCGAGGTGACATTCTGGAACTTGACGAACCGCAGATCCACCGTAGCCGTCCCCGTGTTCGCGTCCCAGCTCTGCGGCTGGATTTCCACCGCCTGCACCGGGTCGATATCGTCCGCCTCGTCGAAGCCCAAAACATGGGAGCGATTCGTATAGAGCTTGATCGTCTTGGGGCGCATCGGGCGCTCGTCCTCGTCGCGGTCCTCCTCGTCCTCGTCGCCCTCTTTCGGCGGGAAGGATGTGATCTGCAGCGAGTGCACCTTGACGGTGGACTGGAAGGGCACGAACAGCATCAGCTGCTCATCGGTGTCGCTCTCCACCCAGTCCGGACCGGCCGCCTTCTTGCCCTTGCTGTTCAGGGCGGAGGGCTTCGGCCCCTCGAAGAGCGTCCGGGCCGTGCCGTACTCGCTGGCCCGGTTCAACAGCTCCAGTCCCTTGGGGTCGGCTTGGTCTGTGATGTCACTGTAGCCCTTGGGCACGGCGCCTCCGATCCAGTATCCCCCGCTGCCGCTGCTTGCTCCCTCGCCGGACGAGGGTTCGGCTTTGTTGGCCTCCGCGGCGAGTTTACGGACGACGTCGTTGAGCTTCTTCGGGTCGGCGCCGCGGATGGTGGAGGTTGGGCGGCCGCGTTCGAAGACGATGAAGGTGGGCATTCTGTTCACGGGATCGCTGAGATTAGCTTGGGTTTCCTTTTTCCCAACGGTTATGGGTAGGTACGCAGAAGGGGTCATCTTACGCTGTAACGCCATAGGCCTTGGCAATATCTTGCTGGTGGTCAACGTTGATCTTGGTGAATGTGATCCGGTCCTTGCGGGACAGCTGCGTGGCTAGCTGCTCGTACGCGGGGGCGATGGCAGTGCATGGTCCACACCAATCTGCGTAAACTTTTGGGGGGCAGAAGAGTCAACCAGTTAGCTGGATTTGTTTGTTTGTTTGTTTGTAGGGTGGTTTTGTGCAATCGACGTGGGTGTGAGACAGGTGGCAGGGGCAAACGAAGGAGGGGGAAAGGCGGGGGAGGGGGAGCTGGGACAAGGGGAGACAAGCTCACAGTCGGCTACGACAAAGGTAGACGAGCTCAGCAGAGAGGCAAATTGCTCTTTGGAGGTGATTTGCACGAGTTGTGACATCGTGGCGGTCGGGTTGAACTGAGCTGAGCGGTGTAATCAAGATTTGAAGGAAGAGAGGAGAAGAGAAAAGGATGGGTTGTTGTTGACCGGGACAGACTGGACTGGACGGTTCGTCGTCTCCGCCCCGGACTATCCATTATATGTCATCAGCTCCGAGTCGACTCAACCCCGCGGCGGCTTCTGTGACGCACTGTCATTGCGACGATTTCTATGATTTGGGACGCCTCTTGATCATGAGCATCAACTTCGGAAAGGCGCACTCATTAGTTCATTTCTCATTCACAGCTAGAATCATTGATGTCTACTCTTTTACAGGTAGTTGAGTATAATGTGGCCACCAAGCCCACTCTATCCGTCACAAATCTGCTCATGACTGGGCGCTCAATCCACGAGCTTGGACACCATCGTAGTCTCTGTTGGACAACCCTCTCCAGGACATCAGGATTTCATACTTGCAAGCCAATAGCTTCAGGGACGATCGTGAGCGTGTCGAGTCCACCTCGACCTTGGGTGCTCAAGTTGCATTACTAGAGCACCCACGCTGCTCGAAATGCGGGCTATACTCCGCAACCTCCTCATCGTATCGGAGCCTCATAAGAGACCAGAAATCGCTTCTCTCCCCGGAAGAGACCAGTTCATGGCAATGCTAGCCGGTGAACCAGGTAAATATGCGAGTGACATCTCACCCTCCAGGGGCAAGAAGACCAGAAAAAGAGCATCACCGTATGCTTACACACAAGGGTTTCCCACCAATATCACCAACACCTCAGGCCCCCTGCTTCTGCACCTCTCCCACTCGCCCCTGCTCATCATCACTGCCATCATTTTCAACCGCAAACAGGACCTTCATCCACAGACTACAGCCCCGACACCCGACCACAATCTCCCCATTCTCCGCCTCCCTCTCCAAATCCTCTTCCGTGAGCAGAAACCCCCTCTCATCCCCACAGCGACACCCTCTATACCAAACATCCCCGTCGCCGTCCTCATCCTCTGCGCAGCCCAGATCCTCCAAGTCCACCACCTCCAACCCCGTGTGAAACAGCACCCCATTGCCCCCGGCCTTTTCCTGCCCCGCGGCAGCCCGCGCGCGATCCAGTCGCAGGGAGCGATCATACTCGGCGCGTAGAGATGGGACGGAGAGAGTCTTGTATGCAGCTGTAATCTCGTCTATCGTGTAGGGTCTCGTCTGTGGCGAGGAAGAGCCATGGGTGTCGTTCGAGGCCAGAAAACTTGGAGGCGCATCCTGAGTAGGTGTGCTGGCGCTGCCAGCGGCGGCAGCCTTGTCCGGGTGGTGTTTGAGTAGGGCGCGGTGGTATGCGGTTTTGAGTTCTTGCTTCGAGAGGGGCGCAGTCGTAAAGGAGAGGCCGAGGATCTCATAATAGTCAAGAGGGAGGGAAGTCGTAGTGAGCGTCATTGTGAATGTCCTTTCCCTCCTTCCAATTCTGTCTCTGTATCCCTGTCCGCTTCGGAAGATAGAAGGCGGGGTCGGTTGGCGAGGGAGATTTCAGTTCAGAATTCCTGTGAGAGACGCTTTCTCTCCTTTCCTTCTTGCGAGGCGTGTGCAAGTGATATTCAAGTAAGTGTCAAGGGACTCCTCTGTATAACGGAGGATCAGATGCCTCGTCGCAAAAAGATGAAAAAAAGATTAAGGCGGCGCGGCGAACGGGTCTTGGCCGTTCCGCACATGCGTTCCGGCCGCGGCCACAATTCTCGTGACTTCTGGACATCGCAACTACCATTGTGATAAGAGCCATGCTCTTGCATCTAACATCACTCAGGACGTGGATTACAGAATGAAGCAATTCAAAATTGAAAATGCAAATCTCGAAGGTAAGTCTTATTCGTCTACAGCCCGTCTCTTGGAATAACTCATCTAGTGGATGATAAGTCTAGTATTGATGCTCTAGCTATCTTCTACCTCTAACCCACAAGACTCGCCTGTACAATGCCTTCGATGGCAGACAGGCCGAGAACAAAGCCGCACAGAAGGGCCACGGCCGTCAAAGAGCGGACCGTTTACGCATATATCGGATATCAAAATATCGAAACAAGTCAAGAAACGCAATGCCCCGCGAACAGATTATGCCAAAAGAAACCCAAACACTATTCACACACCCTGCACATGATCTATGCCTCGAAGGTCTTGAAGACGTAGCGGTCCTCGGCCTTGCTGGTGAAAGGAACACCCAGCTCGAGGAGCTTGACGTACACGTCGGTGAACTCCTTGAAGAAGACATCGTTGTCCTTGGCGTAACGCTCGACGTGCTTGCGGAACTCCTTGTCCTTGATCATGGCCAGGTCGGTGGGGAGCATCATCAGGGTCTTGGTGGTCTTGTCGGTGAACTGGACGGGGCCGTTCCACTTCTTCTGCTGCCACTTCTCGTCGAGCAGGAGCTTGAAGAAGTCGTTGGTGAAGACAGTGGGGCTGAAGTCCCAGGGACCATCGAAGCCGGAGCGGTCGGTGTGGGCGCGACCCAGGGCGTGGGCACCGATCAGGGCCACGATCTCCTGGTCGTTGAAGCCCATGCGGTAGAAGATGTCACGGACGTGTTTCTGGTCCTTGGAGGCGTCGGGGAGACGGCCGTCGGGAGTGCAGGCGGCGACGTCCCTGTCCTGACGGCCGGGTCTCCAGGGGATGGCAGGGCCACCGCACTCCTGGATGGCGGCAGAACCGGCCAGGGTCCACAGGTCGGAGTAGGTGATCCAGGGGAACTGCTGCTTGATGGGCTCGAGGAAGTCTCTGGCGTGCTTCAGACCAGCGTTGGCACCGTGATCGGACTCGGGAGCGAACCGCATGGTAGCACCGTTGCTACCGCCGGTGCCGGTCTCCTTGTCGTAGGTGCCACTTGCGTGCCAGGCCAGGCGGACAAGGACCTGTCATATTCCGAGGTTAGTGTTATGTCAAAACAAGACTCTTTGACTTGAGGGTCAAGACTCACGGGGCCGTAGCTGCCATCATCATAGTCGGTCTCGTCCACCAGCTTCTTGGCAATCGCATCGTACACCTTCTGGTAGTCCTCCTGGGTGGGGACGAAGGCCTTGGAGCTCACGGAAGAATCGCCGCTCTGGAAGAGAAAGAAAGCACCAGCGGCACCAGCAGCAGCAACACCAGCCCACAGGAGGCCGTTAGAGGACTTGCTGGAGCCAGCCTCGGAAGCGTAGCCGCGGCGAGAAGCGGTGCGGAAGCCCTGGGAGGGAAGGGCATAACGAGCGCTGCGAGCAGCGGGTCTGAAAGCCGAGGTAGCAGGGGTCGAGCGAAGGAAGGCCCGAGAGGCCGAACGAGCAGCGGAGGCCATTGTGTGAGGGAGAGGTGTGAAACGGGGAGAGTTTATGTGTGGAAGGGTAGGACGAAAGGGTACACACAGTACTCTTGGGGTGAATCGACTACTGAGGGAGGGTGAGACGAGAGGACGGAGGAAGAGAAGGGAAGGGAAAGAGAGGTGACAGGTACGAGAAGAAAGAGGAGAAGGGACGAAGACAGGGATACTAATAAGTCTACTAGGCTGCGAATCACTTCCATCGGTTTTGCCCGCGACTCCTCCAATAATCCCTGAGGGCACCAATGACCGAGGCGAATTGGGGGACAGCTCTAGCCCCAATCTTTTGAGTAATCAATAGCCGGTCTTTTGGCTTTCTATCTCTCTCCGCATTTCCTGCACTTTCTTCTGGAAGACCTGAGTTTTGCCGTGGGATTATCGGATGGAATGATTGCCGCGGCTGTTGGGGTTTCCGGTTCGTGGCAAGTCCCAGGGGCTCGATCCATGGCTCTTCCCAGGGCTCTTCCCAGGCCCTTGAGAAGTTCCTTGCTTTCTTCAGTAGATAATATCCTGGGATATTCTGACAATTGTTTATCCAGCGCAATGGCGTTGTCAACCTGGGGAGGGATAGTCTAACCCTTGTCTGTCTCTCACGTCGGCGGGATGGGATGGATGATAGATACGATGCGACAACCCGAACGGGGACAAATCCAATCATGAATGGCGAAGCGGGTCCGGTGTGTTCCGATTACAAACTTGCGACTTCTCTTTGGTTTTTTTGTTCATTCTCGGCTCCACCATTTTTCTCCCTCCACTTCCTCCGTCTTACCAAATCGTGCCTGTCCAGAACTCCAGACTTGTCGCCATTACTCATCATCAGCTTACGATATCGAAACGGTCTCAAATTTGGCACCTCGCAATCATAAGCCGTACTGAACCTTATGCAGAGCCGAAGAAAGTTCTTTTCGAAGCCAACGGATGCTTACTATGTGATCTTGCAGGTAGAATTTGCCCAATGAGTAGAAGCAGTTTTGTGTAACTGCTGGTTTTGCGCACACATGGTACAAGGCAAGACGATGGCAAAATTTGGAATCGAGTTCCATCCCAATTCTGCAGAAGAAGAGGGCGGTAATCAGCTCTAATGCTGTGCCCCTGTCAATGAAGGCTCCAGGTACCATTCATCCACAGACTTGAGCACAACAACCAGAACATCAAAACGTAAATTCCGATGCGACAGCACAGCGCAGCATGAGCGAGTGCGCATATGAAGTGCAGTCCTCTTGCTGGCTGAGGCCGAGGTCAACGCCATCAGCAACATGCGAACTACATTTCGAGGATTTACAAGATAGAATGTCCGTCGTAAAAATAGTCCTGCCGTTCGATCAAAGCGAACACCAGGGTGGAGTAGACGCAGCTCTGCTAAAAACTGTTTGGTTTTGATCTTCCACTGAACGAACTAAAAAAAAGTAATGCATCTTTGCCATTGAAAAGGCAAGACGCGCACTGTGTGGGTTTTGTGTTCGTGTTGTTTCTTTCTGCTTGTCTACGAGTCGGCAACAAAATGAATGCCAAAGGGCCCCAACTGCCAACATCATGCAGATCGGGAGACGAGATCCATCGACTGCGGTTGTTCAGATTGAACAATCGTGGCAATGAAGATGAATTTGTCTGTGAGGCTGGACCATGGCTGTCGATGTGACAGACTGCCAAAGCGGCCGATTGTTGATGGGAGAGGAAATTGAAAGGGAAAAACAAAAAAAAAAAGTCAGACGGCTACGGTCACATGAGAATATATGTTTCGCTTAATGTGGTCATGTGATACGCTAGTCCTTGGTGGGTAGAATGTTTGTCCGTGCGGGTACTCGGCTCAAGGTTGGTGATTTGGAGGGGTTGAAACTACGTACAGCAAATCACTTCAGAGAAAATTTTGAGAAAGATCTTGATCGCTCGTTGATCGCTCGTATTATATTTTTTTTCTCATGTGACTACTTTCAACATCTTTCTATTCTCTCTGATGATTTTGGTGAAAGCTTGTGTTCAAAAAAGGTGCCATGTAACTCCTAGTTCCCGAGACATATATTCTAAAAGGTATCATAGTCTGGGACATAGAACCAAACGCCGGCGAAGAACTAATCCTAGCAATGTACAAAGAAGCGCCATGCCTTCCATACTCAATAACCAAAAAGCCAGACACCCCCCAAAAACTCAAGTCAGGGTTCACTTCTGACGTCGGTAATTGATCTCATCGACTGCAAGCCCAACGAGCTGCCTAATAGGACCACCCCGACGCTTTTTGTACCTGCGCTCCGGCTTCGCACTCTCGTACTCCATACTCGACATGTCCGGCTGCGACTGCGACTCGAGCATCGGTGCATCCTGGGCGTTGGCCTGGAAGGGCTCGAAGGCGGGCCGGACGGACAACGTGAGCCCGATCCCCAGACACACGAAGACGATCACAATCTCCTCCAGGACCGACATGCACAGCTGGATGGTGACGTTTCCGGCGAGCGAGCTGAACTCCGGCTTCTGGGCAAAGGCCGACAGCAGAGAGTATAGAATGCGCACGAACAGCAAAGGGATCGAGATGCCGACGGCCAGGAGCAGGCGGTGCTCGCCTTCCTCGATCCGCTGATAGCGGAGAGAGATAAGGAGCAGCAGGATGCAGAGGCCGACCCACGCAATGAGGTACAGCACCAGGCCGGCTTTGGTCTTGGAGTTGTACAGCCCTTCCGTCGGGCTGGTGCTTTTCGTTTGGCCCACGATGCCCAGGATCATGCCTACGATGGTGAGCAGGCCGGTCACCTTGAACAGGAGGGGGTGCAGAGCGTGGCCGGATTTCCGTTGGATCGAGTCGTTACTTCAATGACACCAAGTGTTAGTCACGGTGCGTGCTTGTGGATGTCTGCCGGGGTATACATACGCTCGAGACAACAGGCCAATGCAGGCCCAGGTCAGAGGCGAGACTCCGATGGATGTGCAGACTGCCCATGCCACGTAGAGATCGACTGATGTAGGATTGCTGATGGTGGCTAGGTAGCAGCAGGAGCCGATGATTCGAGCTAACGAGAAGATCACGAAGAATATCCAGCCCGAGCTTCGTGTGAATCCATGGCGAAAGGCCATCCATAGGGCTGTGAATAAGGTGGGGATGTATATGATCAATTCGAGGATGGAGATTCCATGGCGATAGTCGATAGCCATGATTGCAGTAGTCGGCTTCACAAGACCTGTCAAGAAAAAACCAAGAAGAATGGTGATTTAAAAGTATGAAGCTTCATATCGGAAGTCATTGACGGGGGACATGTTCGCTATTTAATCTCAACTCGGACTATCTCCTGTCCCCAAGGCGAAGGATTTTAGCCTGAGAACCACAAGGGCTGTGCCGATATTTTGATATTGAGAGTCTCCATCAGGATCGCCGGGCAGTGTTTGCGACCCTCATAGGCACTCAATCTACGGTTCCAAGCAATTTGAAGTGAAGAATACCGCATCCTTTCAGGGCGGAATTGTTTGAAGAGATAGATTGGGCCAATGAAAAGGCTGGGCGAATGGGGTGCCGCTCGCTCTGCATACCTGAAGCAGGTTAGTGATGGAGAGCCTGAGGCTGCAAGTTGACTTGACTCAGCCGCAATCCTGGACCGACTCGGACTCCACTCGGGCTCGGGTCACTCTTACTCGTTCCCGACTTGGCTGCCTTGTCAGCACTATGAATGAGCAAGACTGACTTCTGACAGTTTGGTTTTCTTTCATGCAACGACCATTATTGCAGCCTTCCATGGCTATTGGAACGTATCAAGTGTTTTTGTTCAGAATCATGAACGACTGGTGCTCTTCGGTTAGCCAGTATCCTGCAGGCAGTCTCCTACCAGTCTATTAGTGCATACATTACACTCCAAGCTCGTCAAATTTCCGGCTAGCCATGGTCTACCGTGGTAAACCGAGTGGAGGATGCAACACTTGCCGCGCGAGAAAAGTCAAGGTATGTTCTTGCGGTCAAGGCTGAGCAAGCAATCACTGTCGTTGTTGGAAGCTAGTTTCGGCCCCCACGACTACCCATGCTGATCATGGGGCTTAGTGCGATGAAACAAGACCAGTCTGTCTACGCTGCACTAAATCTAGGCGTACCTGCACCGGTTATCGGGATCAACTTTCACTGTGGTTCAGGGACGAAAGCGACGCCACTGTGCAGAAAGTCAAGGCACTGAAGAAGTCGGGCTCGGACGATTCGACCCCGCCACCAACGGCCGTTACTGCGATACGACAGGCGGCTGCCCAAGTATATCGCCTTCAGCACCTGACCTTCTCGATCCCCGTCTTCAACTTTGCGCTGGACCACATCTTCCAAGCCACCTGTCTGTTCCTTAAGTCATATACATGGCTCAATGTCTCATGCTTGGTAGAACAGTCTCAGACGCATGTCCTCTCTATTGGCGAAAAGGCCATGATGACAGGTATCGCGTCGGTGGGTCTTGCAAATCTGGCAAATCTTAATAAATCACGTCCTTTTCGAATCTCATCAAGAAGCGAGTATACCACTGCTTTGCAGTTGACGAACGCTGCTCTTCGTGATCCAGTGGCAGTAAAAGAAGACACCACGCTCACCGCGGTGGCTTGTCTCTCTTTGTATGAAGTGAGTCTTTTGTGATAGTATCCGGAACGAAGCCACTGACTTGATTTGCAAGATTATCTGCTGCGACAAGGAATCGTCCTTGCTATCTTGGTATGAGCATGCACGAGGCATCGCCGCCCTACTTGAACTTCGTGGGGAGGAACAGCTCCATTGTGGAACCGGTTTGCAAATGTTCCAAGTCCTGAGAAATGAAGTGGTTAGCTTCATGATCCGTTCAAGCCAAGTAATAAAGTGCATATGTCTGACTTTCTTATAGCTTATTGGTTGCCTGCAAAAGCGAACACGAATGCCTCCTACGCTCATCAGGACTTCACATCGACCAAATTCCACTGCTCAGAGTTATTGTGCAGGTAAGCTGGTGGAGATTGCCGCCGGTCTATGCGATCTTCAATCTCAAATGAGCGAGGGAGCAGTCACTGATAGCGCCAGAATACTTACGCTCGCCATGAAGCTGGAATCTGATTTAGAGGATTTCAGCAAAGAGCTTTTTGCTGAGCTGCCCTACTTGATCAGTCTGCGAACCAAATCCCAGATCTCTCAAGAGGAGGCGGTAAACGCGGTCAGTCATTACAATGGATATTACCATGTGTACCAGTCCATGTGGGCGTGCAATACATGGAACAATTACCGGTACATTCGAATTCTCGTCAACAGTTTGATTCTGGCACAGTTACAACAATTGACGTTCCATCCCCAGCGCAGCCCAGTTGCCCCGGGCATACAGAGTCTTTGCCGCCATGTCCGCGCTCTTCTAAGGCAATTGGCGATGGATATCTGCTGCGCGGTTCCGTACAAATTTGGCCTTGCTCAGGAGGCTGAGAGAAAAACACTGAATCCCTTGGTAGCCAAAGCCGGCACTGGGTTCACTCTCCTTTTGCCCCTCTATCTTGCTTCGCTTGTCGATGGAGTGTCGAGCCCTGTCCACGCTTGGGCCACGAGGTGCCTCGGCATTATCGGTCACAAGATGGGCATCCAAACGGCTGTATCCCTTATGAATGTGCTCGAGAATGAGCAAGGTTGGACGGGCTGGATCGACTTGATAGATGGTGAAGGGGATAAATAGATGTACATGATGGAAGACCTTGGTACCTAAGGCATCACAAGACAGCGGAGACTCAGTTCACGTGACGCACCGTTGTGCATCATTTAAAAGAGTTTTCCTCCGCGCCGCGGGAAGGAACTTTTTTCTTTTTCTTCTTTACACTTATCATACCTCACGAACGCATAATCAACCTACACTCCTATCCTCCATAGGATGGCAGGTCATATTGGCGTACCAGAATGACGTTTCCAACACCGGGCAAATGTCTTGCTATGGCTTCATCACCGTGCTGGGTTCCTTCGAGAGTCACGAGTGCGATGGTGATGAAGTCAACTGCTGCTCATACATGCCGACGCAAGATCGTTTCTTAATTGTGTAAGCGGAGAAAGAGAGACACTTTCTCTTCTCGTATTGTAGTTGTGGCCACACGCGCCCAGGCTGAGGGCCGTTGCAGCAATCCAGAGAGCGTCACTTGTGTGGAAGTCTCGATGCTTCTCGTAAGCGCGGATCAAGCAACCAGGTCACCGAGCCCGTGGATTGGTCTTCCGGGATCGTTCGATTAAGTTTCGCAGGCGCAGTTTGTTGATTGTCAGAACTTGGCTCAAGTCCTCTGAACGTGGGTTCTAGTGATTGACGAACGCGTCCGACTCCGAACCCGAAACTATCTTTTTGAGCTTGAGCGAAAAGGAGTCTGTCCTCTGCCCAGACCGCGCATGAAATAAAGTGAACCAACTTACCAAGTGCCTGGCAATATATTAGCGACATAGATTGGGGGAATAATGTTAATGGCGCTGAAAATAGAACAATTGTGGCCCGTTCTTTGGAAAACTGGGTCTATTGTCCAGTTGGGGGCTGCTTGCCCCTGACTCTTGACAATGAAGCCAAGAAGCAAGCAGCAAGCACTGCTTGAATTGAATGGATGGATGGTCGCATCGGCGGGCGCTGTCTTGAACTCCGGATGCAGGACCGAACGAGGCTGGCTGGCTAATTATGAAAGCTCGAGTAGTTGCAGTCTAGATGCTTTTCAATCGATTGATCAGTCAGTCAGTCATCATTGAATTGGACTAAGTGACTCCCGTAATCTGCATTGATGATTACGGAAGACTAGACTAGTCGAGGGGACAGAGGACAGAGGAGAGACAAGAGCGCGACTACGACGAGGAAATCGAATCCACCATCCAACTTTCCTCCCCACATCTTCATTCATTATTCATCCCTGGCCACTTTTCTCTCCTCTCACCTCATCCTTACTCAGTCTATTACCTCCCCTCCCCCACCTCTTCTATCCTTTTTTACTACTCTATTATCTTTTCCCTCCGTCCATACGGCTCCTCTTCGGCTTCTGTCCTGGACGTTGATTGTGTAAATATGCTTGATCCCACCGCCTGAGTGTCTTCTTTCCCCCTCCGAATTCCCCGTTCCGGAAGCTCGGCTCGTGCATTCACCTGAGACTTTTATCTCTACGGACCCCCCACTGCAAGTTTACGACCACAAAACTCTTCTATTCTTGGCTCTCAGACACTTGGAGCCCATCGTTTTACTTGCACAATAGAGTTCGTCGCCTTTTGAGCGTCGTGCGACCATGGTGGGAGGCATTAGCAAGCGGCAGCAATACCGCAATGAGCGGGCATTGCAGGACCTCATCCGGTCGGTTCCTGGCAACGATCGATGCGCTGATTGCCAGGCTATGAACCCTGGTGAGCCCCAATACCTACAATCATCCTGTCGCAATGTGATGCTAATGAACCTCTTGAAGGCTGGGCTAGTTGGAACGTACGTACCACGACCGATCTATGCACGGATTCGAGCCCCCGAATAAGGACACGGCATATTGACTAGATCGGATACAGATAGGCATCTTTCTTTGTATGCGATGCGCGGCCCTACATCGGAAGCTTGGCACGCATATCTCCAAGGTCAAGTCCCTGAGCATGGACTCGTGGACGGACGACCAAGTCGATGTGAGTGATAGCTACCCCACACCAGCTCAAGTGGTCTGGTCTGACTCGTGATGGGTTTGGTGGACGCTAGAATATGAAATCGCACGGCAACAACATCATGAACAAGCTCTTCAATCCCAAGAACGTGAAGCCACCGGTCCCGACCGACGTCGACGAGTCCGACTCGTGCATGGAGCGATTCATCCGGCAGAAGTACCAGCATCGGTCTCTCGATGAGAACAAGCAGAAGCCTCCGAGTCGTCATGACTCGGGGTATGATAGGTCTCCGGAGGGGTCGCCGCCTCCCTTGCCTCCGAAGCCCGCCAGGCCGTTTGGCTTCGGCCTTCGTTCGGCCTCATCCGCAACGAACCTCAACCGCATCTCCAACCGCAGCGCCTCCTCTCCTCAATCGGACAGATTCGACTCACCTTCGCCGGCGCTAGGTGCAAGGAAGGCTTCCGGGGATGCGTCGTTCGACTCGAAATTGGCTACCCTGAGGGATATGGGTTTCACAAATGAGCGTCGCAATGCCATTGCTCTCCGCGAATTGAATGGGAATCTTGATAAGACCATCGAGACGTTGGTGAGGCTGGGAGAGGGCAACGGTTCTGTGATGCGACCACCTGCTTCTGCTTCTGCTTCAACTCCTAGCGTCGATTCCTCCAAATTCGGCAATCCCTTCGATCAATTAGACTCGAGGCTAGCAGCCCAGCCCAGCAGCAACTTCAACCCTTTTGATGCACAGCTGCAACCGCAACCACCACAGCAGCTGCAACAACAGTTGCCTCAGTCGGCCTCTATGCAGCCGCTCGAGCAGTCGTTTCAGGGCCTGCAGGTCGCCCAGCCCTTGTTCCCGCACTCTACAGGAGGCTACCCGTACAGACAGTCCTCCCTTCAGCCTCTTTATCAGCAGGCGCCCCCTGCAGCTTCTAACTTGAACCAGGGTGGATACGTCGCATCTCCACAGATATTGGACGGTAGCCATAATCCCTTCTTCCAGACTGGAGCTCAGCCGCAGGCCAGCCTGACCACTCCGGGCGCGAGCCCCAACCCCAACCTTGGTTCAAGCAATCCCTTCTTCGGCCAGGTTCCATCACAACAACCATCCACGCAGGCGCAAAACCAGGCGTCAGCCGGTCCATTTGGTCCTCCGCGACATGCGAACACAATGCCTATCATGTCTGCGACGTCACCATTTGGTCAGCCTTCGCCATTCCAGCAGCAACAGCAGCAGCAACAGCTGCAGCCACAACTGCAGCAGCAAGCGCAGCCCCAGCTCCAAGTACCGCCCACGCAACCTGGACAAAACTCCATGAACCCGTTCCAGATGATGAATGCGCCGCCCACGCCTCAGAGTGCAGGATATCCCGCTCCAGCGCAGTACGGTTACCAGATGCCCGCCCAGCCTCTGTACCCGCAGCACACAGCCCGTGTCGACAAGAACAGCATTCTCGCACTGTATAACCTCTCTCCCCAGCCCCCTACGATCCCTGAACACCCTCAAATCCAGCAGCCCCCGGTGGCTGCCAACCCAGCCCAGCAAGTCCCGATGAACCCAGCACCACCATCCCACTATCAACAACCCGCACCCGCCCTCCAACAGCCCGGCGCCACCGACCCCCAGGCGACGGGGACACGGAACCCCTTCTTCACCGCCGCTCCAGCCGCCCCTGCTGCACCGTACCAAATGGCCATGCCCCAAGCTGCTCCCCCGCCCACGGCAGGTTTTACCATGAACAACCGACCCGCGACGTCAGCAGGCGGGTTTCCTCGCGGTCACATGAGCCAGCAGAGCGTGGACATCAATGGCTTCCAGAGTGGCCGCCACAGCCCGGACGCGTTCGCCAGCCTCAGTGCACGCTACGGCTAGACAGCTAGCTAGCTCGATTCCGTTTCAGCCTTTCATGTTTTCTCTGCTTATTCTTCTTTCTTGAGCGTATATATAACATGTCTTCTTTGCCCTAATCGGGGTTTCTTTTTCTTTTTCTTCTTCTGGATGTGTGTACCTGTGTTGCATCATTCATGGCGTTCTTGAGGTGATATAGTAACTGTATGATGACGCTGTCGTTGACAGAGCGGTATATACTTTTTTCTCTGTTCTTTTCTACACACAAAGTCGGTCAAATTGTTACATAGAGTTGAAATGGACCAATAAAAGCTCAAAGTCAAAGGTGGTTACTCCGGGCTGGGATTGCAATGTCTGGGACTCATGTGTTCCCTCTTCGTGAGCGGGTTGATGGCTCTTTGACCATAGCAAGTACCGCTCGGGTCGAGGGAGACGAGTCATATACTGTACTTTATTGGTCTGCATTAACCAGTCCAGATTTCTTCTCAGATCTATGTTATCATTCAAGATAGAGCCTGCTATCATCAAATCTAACCAGAAAATCACTCAATAGATCAAAGCTTGAGAAAGGAATGAAGAAGAGGAAAGAACAGAACGCCTCGAGAACATTTCCCAGCCAGCCCAACACCCATTCATTGATCACCAGCTTCCCTATCCCAACTTCCCCGCTCGAACGTCCTAATTCCTCACCAAGATGACTGGAAGCCGCCTACAAGAACGATCCCAATCCGCTCGAACTGTCACTCGACCCACTGCTACCGCCACCGAAGAGCGAGCTCAGCCCGCTAAGCCCAGACAGCCCGGAGGATCCCGAAGAAGCGGCGGATGACTCGGAGCTTCCGCTGCTGGTGCTCGAGCCAGTGGTCCCGGAAGAAGTGGTGGACGTAGAGGTGGTTCCCAGCTGCGACTCCAACCACTGCGAGGCCTCGCCGGTGTTGGCGATGTACGAGAAGTGCGCGGGAAGGACGAGCAGCGTGCCGTCGCACACCATGTCGCCGGCGGCGCAGTAGATCTTGACCTTGTCCTTGGGGAAGTTCTGGATCTGGCCATGTTCCTGGGCGTTCCGGGTGTAGCCGAAAAGAACCACGCCCTTGATCTTGTCCTTGACGCTGTCGTCAAGTTCCTTGATGGAATCGTCCATCACGGCTGTTCCTTGACTATATAGATCGGATTTGTCGTTAGCGTACATTCTGGGGAGGAGGGATTTTGGCCGAGTGGTGAAGAAGCGGGCTTACCTATATCCACCGGCCAGGATTTGACTGTTGGGACACTTGGATGCAGCAAGGTTGAAGAGAGACTTGGCTTCGTTGATGGCCGCTGGGGAGGTGTTATCGGGCAGGGCGTTGGACATCAGATCGGCTGTGTAGGCGGGACCGACGCCCTGGCAGAGGACTTGGCCGGCCTTGGCCATCTTGAGGTTGTTGCAAACGGCCGGGCCGGTTGAGATACCCTGTTATTGTTGGTTAGAGTACAGATGGAAGAGATAAAGTGGTGTGGCTTACAAGGAGACCCGGCTCGGTGGATGCGCGCGCAAAGATGAAGATGATGGGCTTGCAAGAGCCATCACGGAGTTCGTTTCCAGAACTGACTGCAGCATACTTAGCAATGATGCTCGAGGGAAGGTTAAAGCAGCGAGACCATACACTGACGGGTCTCAAGACCCATTGGGGTGGCCGCTGCAAGGCCCATGAGGCCGAGGAAGAACAAAGGAAGCTTCATCGTGGGTAGTTGGGTGCTGCTGGGACTGGGGATGCCTTCCGAATCATTCAAGCATCGACCAGACCAGGTTTCATTGGGAACCTATTTATACAAATCTCCCGAGTCCTCGGGATTAGGACCAGTCCACATGTCGTCGAGGTATTTTTTCTTGGGTGCCGAGATAGAATGAGTTTTTTGGAAGTGTAGCTTGTTTCATGCACGATTCTCGTTTCATACTGTCGCAGACAGTTCAACAGTTCCTCACGAGAAAAATCACGGACCACCTCCTTGATACGGTTGGCAACCACGGATGTATGCTACCGAGGACCCTGAATAGACCCTGAACGGGTGGCTTGTCCGAGGTCGGTGGATGAGGCTATTCGCTCGACGGCCAACGGCGTGTTTCAGCACAGGGCCACTTTTTGGGTCGGGGGGTGGATCTGGGTCCGCTGGTGGTAGAAAAGTCCGCCGGTCAAGCCGCCTGGGTGTGCCAGGCACCGGTGTTTTTCTGGCCATGTGCATGGGTTTGTGGTTGGAGTCTCAAAAATGAGACGAGCGATCAGGATCTAGTCTATTACTTGTACATAGTAACTAGTGTGTGCACGATCGAACCAAACACAGCCGATGGTGGCATGCTGATCAGGAACAGGGCAGTTTGTTCCAGAAACCATATCCGAAGTAAACCCTTAAAAGCTGATCTATGGTTTGCTAGTGATCCTTGATCGACATTTCATTCCCTTTGGAAAGTGTAGACTGATCAGTTTGAGGTTAATGAGTAATGTGACGTGTCGAAGAGCAGAGCCCGGTTGGATTTCCGATGCCGAGGTATGTTATGGAGCATTGCACGGCCATTGAAGGAGTAAGCCGAAGGAGAATACGAGACCTCATGAACTGAAGTCAGAGAATCATAGTCAGCACAGTCAGAGAAGCGTCGGCATTGACTGGAGAGAGAAAGACATCCTGGATTGAGAAGTGGCCGTTGGATGGATGAGTGTTGGAGTGTTGGCGTGTTGGAGAAAGTGTAGTGTAGGCGGCATGTCCCGTGACCAGCTATGCTTGCTTTGCTTGAAGCATCATCCCTTCCTGTTTAGGCTGACAGCAGTGACCATCCACCGACTCCAACTTTTCTACTGCAAACAATGATCTGATAGCCACACTATTGAACAATCTTCTGGAAGTCTAGCAGAAGCCTAAAACCTCAATTCCATTTATCATCGAGATCAAGCGCCTGAGTCTCGAAACACAGCGTTGAGCAAGGTCGGTGCCTATCTCAAATAGCGGCCGGAGTAGTCTTGCCAAATATCATTCTAGTCCTCGCTGGCGTCATAGGAATAAATTGATCTACTGCTCTGTCTGACGACTAGCGTAGGGCGCGTCACAGCCAACTACTACCTGCACTAAACCTGATACAACAAAGATGCCGATCAAATGCATTTGCGCAAGGTTTCTAGTCTCGCGAGACCAACAGCCACCAGCCAAACTAGAGCGCCGGGCCCAACCCCCGGACCCCCAGGCACGGCGACAGCGCCAGCGCCAGCGACCACCACCACCACCACCGGCCGTGGCGCGCAATTCCGCCGAGGAGATGCATCACAAGGCGCGCAACACCACCCGCGCCCACCTGCGAGAACTCCACCGCCGGGTCCAAGCGTCACAGTTACAGTCTCTCTCCGAGTCCGAAACCAGGGACCTCGGTATTGATTGCGTCGAGCTCCCGCTCCGCCCAGATGGGCTCTTGCCCGAAGAGACAGACGAAGCCGTATACTTCCACCCGTGGCCGATTCGGCGCCTCGAGGCCCACCCCGTTGACATGACGGACCCAACCACCCGGGAATCCGCCCGCGTCAAGGAGAAGCTCTGGGCGCGCTTCGACCGGAAGGGGACCGACCAGGACGGCTTCCTGAGTGCGGTCCTCGCGGACGAGTTCCTCGAGTACCTGCGCGAGGGGCCGCTGGGTCGGGATACATTGGAGCAGTTCTCTCTGTGGACTGAGGGGTCAGCTAAGTGAACTACATATTTGATGTGTTGCACGATGTAGCATTGCTGATAGTGGGGACAAACTGCGGGAGCCTCTCACAGAACCTTTGAAGGTGGCATCATTCGATCGCGGTACATGGATTTCAGCGCCTCGGCGGATCCGGACACGGGGCCTAGGGCTGCGCACGCGGCGGACTTCAAGTTCGAGGAAGCGTGGTGTGCGCGCAAGGGAAATCCCCATGTCAGTCTCATCGTGACGCACAAGGTGGCTCCGGAGGAGAGGTTGCTGCGCACCGAAGTCCTGGCCCTCGTGGGCATTATGAGGACACGGCTAAGTCGAGCGGCGCTGAAGGAGCATACGATCATCCCGGTAGGAGACTTCTTTGTGACTAGCTTTCATAGAATCCCCACAGACTGAACCACTCACATCTGTTGTATAGATCAACATGATATCATGCATGAGACAGCGCCAAGCGAGGATACTCCAGGCGCACTTCGACGGCGAAGACCTGGTGATCCGCAAGAGCCATCTCTACGACTTCAGCACGCGAGATCTTCGCGAGAAGAACATTCCATTGTTCTTACTTTACATGGCCAGCAGGCCTATCGGAGATACCAGAGCTTATAAGAAACGGATCCGGGAAGTGTAGGTGTCTGCTATCATTATGCGAAATGACCATGTGAATCTTCCATGTAAAGCAAACCTAATACGAATTAATTCTCCTTTAAAATATGAGCACAAGAAGAGCCAAAACCTCATTCCGCATCCTATCCTACTTAATCCCTTCACAGAGTCATGAAACCCCGAATACCAACTCTAATCCCCAAGCAGCACACCCCCAATAGAAATCATCGAATATCAGAAACCATCCTCATTTTGCATCCCCAAGTCTCTTCAAACCGTACCCCCGCCTTCCTTCTTAACCCCACCCAAATCCTGCTTCTCCAGCTTGAAAACCCCAAACCCCTCCTCCCCAACCCCTTCCTCCTGCACCTTCACCTTCCCCTTCTTAGCCGCCTTCGTCGGCGCCGCGGCACCCTCGCCATTCGCGTGGTCCCAAGTCCCGGCTTTACGTTTTGCCTTGGAGGGAGTCTCCGCTGCTCCGGCGACGCCATCGGCGGCGGCGGTGGTGGCTCCATTCTTCTTAGCCGGGGACGTGATCGGGGTCGTATCGGTCGAGGTGGTAGAGCCGAGGGATTTCGCATGTCTCTTGAGTTTGGCTATGCGTTGCTCGATGGCGCAGGCGGTGCAGTCTTTTGTTAGGCGGGTTGTCTTGTCAGTTTTAGGGAAACTCCAGAGGGGGTGAGGGGGTGGAAGCGGGATGAGAGAATGAAAGGCAGTGAACGAAAGGGACTAAGTCAGACTCAGGGGTAAGAAAACATACCTCCCCCCATGTGCTGGGCCAGCTTCTGGGTGTCAAGTTTCAGTTGGCCGTGACATTGGTTGAGAACGCCGACGAAGAGCTGGATTTCGAGGGAGAGATGTTAGTGAGTATGCATGCGTGAATGATAAGGAGATCGAGCTGGGGAAGGGGGAGAAGTGTGCATACCTTTGCGTCGGCTTCGGAGGTCCATTGCATCGGCATTTTCAGATCCTGTTGCTTGATATTGGATTTGTGAGGTGTTTTTGTAGTTGTTGTTGAGGTATGGGTTCTTGTACTTGGGTTTTGTAGAGGGTAGTATCGTGCGGGGAGGGATGAAGAAAGATGGTTGGGGAATGAAGAGAGTGAGAGAAAAGGAGAAAGATAGAGGAAGGGTAGGGAGAGCAGATTTATGGGGTTTGTGTTTGTTGGACTCGAGAAGGCAGGCTGGATGGTTGGTGTTATTTGCTGATGGTGAATGTTGCAGATGTGAAAGGTCGCTGAGCTGGGAGTTTAGCAAGGCAACGGGGAATATATTCGCTGTGTCTTTCTTGAAAGTGTCTTCTCTGATTAGAATGCTGTCTGTGTTTTCGAGACCAACTGGTACCTCAGCTCCACAAACAAAAGCTATCGCATGATACGTTGTTCATAAGGATCTACTCGGTCCTGACTCTGAAGTTCAGGCGTGGGTCGGCTGAGTTCGAATGTGATGCACATCACAAATGAACAGTCCTTTAGAAGTTTGACTTGAGCCAGTGGACATCAATCAGAGCCGTAGCAGTAGAAGATGTGAAAAGAATCATAGAGTATGAAAAAATAGTGCGCATACTACAGCTCTATCAGGGCTGCTGATCTACGCGTCATGGAATGCATAATGTGAAGGTATGATATAGTAAGGTATATTGTCTTCCCAAACACTCTGGGCACGTTAACATTAAACTACCACCCACCCTTGCCAGCATTTCCCGTACTTTCCTCGATCTTCTTGGGCATGCCTCGCGTCGGCTTGGACTGGGCCGCCTCGTGCTTGCGAAGCTCCTCGGGGACCCGGGAGATAGGCGACTTGATAAGCATCTGTTTAAGATCGTACCTGCAGAAAACCAGGTCAGTAAGCGAATACAAGGTGGATGACAAGAACTGTAACAAGATGGAGAAGAAGGAACATACATAACGTCGGAATCCTCGTTCCCGAGGAAGGTGATGGCAACACCACTCTTTCCAGCACGACCCGTACGACCGATACGATGCGTGTAACTCTCGATACTTGTCGCCATGTTGAAGTTGATGACCAGACTGACATCCGGCACATCGATACCTCTACCCGCCAGGTCGGTCGCCACCAGCACATCGGTTGACCCGTTCCGAACGGACGCCAGCGCCGCCTCACGCTGCTCTTGCGTCTTACTACCGTGCAACGTAACAGACGAGAAGCCCCACTGTTTGATCTCCCGAGCAATGGCATCGCAGTTGCGCTTGATGTTGACGAACACAATGATCGGAGGACGGAAATCGCCCGACGACAGGATCTCGCCGAGGCGTTTCTTACGCTTATCTTCTCCTGCGATCAACTCCACACGCTGCTCGACTGTATCGACGGCTTCACCGGCGCTACCAATGGTCACAATGGCTGGGCGGCGGAGGTATTTGCGGGCGATGCGTTCGACAGCTGAAGGCATGGTGGCCGTGTACATCATTGTTTGACGGTAGCGTTGAAGATGGGACGGCTGATTCGAGTTGATATGGCGGCTCATTGCGATGGAGTTCTCGGCTTCCTCGCTGTCTGGCTTCTCATTGGTAACAGGCAAAGCATCCAAGATCTTGTTGACAGGCTCTTCGAAACCCAGATCGATCATCCGATCGGCTTCATCCATGATCACGTAGCAACATTGACTGAGGACGAGCATCCGGCGCTCGATACAGTCGACGAGACGACCAGGCGTAGCGATAATGATCTCCGCACCGTCGCGGAGACTGTAAGCCTGTTCTTCGAACGAGTGTCCACCGACGATACTGACGACGTTGAATCCAAGCGGTTGGGTGAACTTCTTGGCTTCAATCTCGATCTGTTGCGCCAATTCACGAGTCGGTGCCAGCACAATAGCGTAGGGTCCATCGTTCTTGCGCCATTCGAATTCGTCAATCCGAGGAAGCTCCGCAATGTAACAGAGAAGTGGGAGGAGGAAGGCCGCCGTTTTGCCGGAACCAGTGACAGCCACACCGATGAGATCGCGATTCTGCATAGCGATTGGAATAGCTGCACGCTGGATAGGAGTGGGTTCCTTATATCCAACCAGGCCGATGAGCTCCAGTAGACGCGAGGGCAGTCCCGATTCATCCCACGAGCGCATTGGGTTGGGCACGCTCCCACCCTTGGTACTGATGTTGAAGTCTTCCTTGAAGATACGCCAATCGCGCTCGCGCATATGTTCGAGCTTCTTCTCGGACCAGTGCTTGTCCAACTGGTTGCGGGTACTCTCTTCGCGGCGACGGCGCTCCATCTCCAGGATTTCGCGCGCGCGGATGCTGCCAGCCTCGCGGTCGCGGTCCTCTAGAGCCCGCGCGTAGGTCTTGGCCACTGCGTCAGCAACATCGTCGCCGAAGCCAGCCAGACGGCCGCGGCCGAAGAAGTTAGCTTCGTGCCGGTGTTTGTAGAGCGGGTTGTAGTCGCCGCTAGTGTCTTCCTCAGCATTCCACTCGAAGTTGAACTTGCGATCTGTCGTGCGCTTGCGCTTCTTCTTCGCGGAGAAATTTGACGTCTGGTCGGCGCCCATGTACCGTTGCTTGATAAGCGCGGCTTGTGCCGCTTGTTCCTCCTCGGCGTCGTCCACGGCGCCTCTTCTGTTCTTATGTTGTTTGCCAGGGCCGCTGGTCAAGCCATACGACATCGATTTAGGGGGAGGGGGAGGTGAGAGATCGTAGTTCTTGTTGTTGCGCATCGAAGCCGGCGCGCTGGGCGCATCGGAAGAGTTGCGCATGGCTCGTGGACCGGTGGGAATCGAGCGGGAGTTGTCATTGTGGCGGGACCGGGACTCTGATGAGCGGCTGGAGGATGTGTTGTCGATCGTCTGGGAGGACGTCTGATCAGTCTTGAGTCTGCGCGCGGCTTCGACTTCCTTTTGGCGCTTCTCAAGGGCGATCTTTTCGCGTTCCTTCTTCGACAGAAATTTGGGCTGAGAATTGTTAGCTGTGCAGCTTGATTTAAACGAAGCCCGCGTGAGATCTACCTTGGCAGCTGCAGCATCAGCTTCCCGTTTCTTGCGCACCAGCTCCTCGACACTCAGAGGCGTAGCAGCTGGGCGTTTGGGGGCTCCCCATCCGACTTTCTTCTTCTTGGATTCGGGCTCTGGCGGCGGAGCAGGTGGAAGGTCCTCCGGCGGTGGCGGAGGTGCGGACGTGTCTGGCGGCGGAGGAGGAGCGGAGGAGTCCTCTGGAGGTGGGGGAGGAGAAGGAGGGCGTTCGATAGGCTCTGGAGGTGGCATAGGAGGAGGGGGAGTCTCCAACGAACCGTTTGTAATTATACCATCCATGGTGAATTATGGAGATAGAAAGAGGAAGGAAATACAGCACGCCGCCGGTAGGCGTTTGATATGACCGACTATCAAAGGCGGCAGGCGGCGCCGCGGAGTCTAGAATTTCTACGGAGGCGCAAAGAAGCTGGGACCGCAGCCAGTCACGTGCATATCATGTTGAAGTATGCTTTTATACAGTCACCACTTATCATTTTATCATGAATGTCTACCTGGTCAAGGTTGCAGATATAGCTGATGACTTTCTTCTTAAACAGGAGAAGCCTCAATGAGTTATTATTTACAGCTCGACATTTGACCGGACCGAGCACCGCTCAGCACCTACACCCACAAATACAAAACAAGCCCAGTAAGCGAAGTAAAAAGGCATCTCAGCATCTCTCCTCATAAACAACCTCGAAGTCTCCCAGATGCACGACATGGCAATCTTTTGTTTCCTTCAAGAACCGCGTCCCATCCTCCCCCTCCGCAAGCCTCACCTGGAACCTCTCGAACAACTTCGCCAACACAATCCGCATTTCGATGTAAGCCAGCCCTCTGCCAGCGCAGGTATATGCACCTGCGACAAACGGCATGAAGGCTGACTTCTTCAACGTTAACTCTGGTTGTTCGCCGGTCCAGCGCTCGGGGATGAATTCCTCGGGCCGGACGTAGTTCCTGGGGTCTCGCTGGACGGGGAGAACAGGGACGCTGATAATAGTGGCGCCGGGAATGAAGAGGGTGGTTGGTGATGAAGATGAGGATGCGTTGGTAGAGGTAGGCAAGGGGACGTGGATACCCTCGGGGGGTGTTTTGCGTGGGATTTCTCCAGGGACAGGGGGCTGGAGGCGGAGGGCTTCATTGATACAGGCGTTAAGATAAGGAAGAGAAGTGATAGAGCGATAGTATGAGGCTTCAGGCTCTGAGTCATTCTCTTGATCCTTGCTTTGCTCTCGCAGGCGTTGTGCAGCATCGTCGAGCTCCGCTTGGAGCTTGCGCTGAACAAGAGGGCAGCGTGCGAGGTGGAAGATCACAGTCGCCATGGTGGTGGCCGTAGTGTCTCTATTGTCGAGTCAGATCCACATTACCTCTCTCCCAAAAGTCCTGGGAAGGACATATGACAAAAATTTAAGGGGAAGAAACATACCCTCCGGCAATAACCATCAACTCCCCCTCACTATACAGTGCTGACCTTGACAAATTCACCATGGCCGGCATCATCTTACTCATCGCATCAGTAGTCTCATGCTCCGGCGTGTGCAACCGCTGCATCTTCTCCCGGATCCGCGCCTCGATCCACGCGCCGTAGCGCTGAAGCGGTGAATCTGCTCCAGGCAGGTTAACCAGAAGACTCATCAGCCACGGCGCCTGAGAGATGATCCGCTGACCGGCAGTGACCTGCCTCACGAAGTGCAGCGCCGGATTGAGCTTCCAGTTCTCGATGTTCTCGAACGAATACCCCCAGCCAATGAGGCCCATCAGGTCATAACTTAGCAACTGCATCGTATCGGGACCGGAGACTACTTGACCAGCTCGTTGACGCAGCGCATCTAGGAACCGTTCCGTGGTCTTGACGACCACAGGCTGATAGGACTTGAGAGCTAAAGTTCAATAGCAAAAAATCAGCACACCTTCACTTCAGCCCTCAGCCCATCTCTTATCAATCACTCTTCATGCCAAAAGAGACAAGCAGGACACACAAACCTCGAATATTGAACGCCTTATCCCAGAGCGCCTTTCTGCGCTGCGTATGAGCTACCGGATCCCGCATATGAAACACCGCAAAGTCCTCGGAGAAATCGCCCGCGGCTTTCAAGCGATCATACCAGATGGCGCGGGTACACCGACTCGAGGCGCCGTAGATGACCTCGATTGCGTCGGCCGACAAGATGCTGAGTTCCTGGGGCCCCGTTCGGACGATATCGCCATACTGCTTGTGGAGATCCCAGATGCGCTCAAAGTCCCGTTCCTTTCCGACGTTGCCATACGCCGCTACTAGCTTCGATAGCTTCAGGGCGACCGGGCCTGGGAAATGACGGAGGCGGTGGAAGAACGCCCGGTAGATCAGAACGGAGGCGAAAAGGGGACCGTAGAAGCAGAGGTTCAAGAGAGATATCGCGGAGAGTCCGCGGAGAACTGCGCCGATACTCCAGGGAGACTGGTGCGGGTGGGTGTCCACCAGAGCGAAGCCTACAAGGGCGATATTCACAATCACATGCGAAAACAACCAGGTACGGACCTCTTTATTGTTGCGTTCCCCACGGATCCAATAGAGAAGATGGGCGCTCACGCCGGCCAAAGCAAGAAGAGGGCCATGCTGCTTGGTGAGGTCAACCAGGTCGACTGACACGACCATCATTGACGTTGTGTTGATTGGTCTCTCTTCGCGATGACCCCCTCTGGAAAAAGAAAAACATTAAGGAACGTGCTGAGGGAGAACGATACGAGAGAAGGATTCTAAATAGTTTCTCATGTCGCAAATTGACAACGCCATCTCCAGCACTAATCCATGATCCCGGCCCTCCTATGACGGTGGGACCTATCATAAGCATGAGAACTCGAGCTGACAAGTTCAGTTCCAGTTAGTCTAGTCAATCTAGATTACGAGAAGAAATAGGGTCTGTCATTGGATGGCTCGGGAATACTGGACAAGGATCCACTCGCATCTTATTCGATCCCAAGGGTCTGTGTTAAGGCAATGTAGTCTAGGAGCTGAGCTGAACAATTACAACAGTCACTTGCATCGGTTGGTGGTTAGGGTTATTAGAGGAAAAGTAAAAAGGTAAAAGCTACCTACGCATTAGAATACAATGGAGCCAGTGTCCAATTCTCATAATAAGCCACCCAGTTTTCACATGAAATCATTGGGAAGCTGTCAGGGAGCAGGCTGATTCAATTGCCCCCACTAGACAGATCACTTGCTCCTCCCTCACTCAACACGCCTGAGTCGCTGAAAGCTGCATAATCAATAAAATAGGTTGGGGAAATAGATTGAGGGGCTATTGTTCTACACATCGACAAGCCGCTGCCGGCTTGGACTGGGAAAAAGGGAAACCAACCACCGTAAAAGGGATATCAGGAGTTAACAGACCTGGGCTGTGGCAAGCTCAGACTGATATAGTGAGTCTGGGGAAGAGCTCACGCGTCGCCGTTGACAGGCGTCTGCTGGTAGTAACCAGCATAAGGGTTGGCTTGGGGTGCAGGAACAACTACTTCCGCCGTCGCTGGGGTCACCGGGGCGGCTGCCACCGGGGCTGGTGCTGCTGCTGCCGCCTCAGTAGCCTGCATGTGCGATACCGAGGCAGGCCCGTGGACCTCCCGGTCAAGGGTCATGTACTCCTTCGCCGCATCCTTGGTGCCGCGTTCCAGCAGATAGACCATGTAGACTTGCACAAGCTCTCGCACTGCTTGAGCCGGCAGGGAACTCTTGGTCCGGATTTCATCGACGACTTGCTTGATGCGCTCGTATTGGACCGTTTCAGAGGTCGAACTCGTGGGCTGCTCGAGTTCGAAGTGAAGATAACTCGTCCAGAACGGACGGCTATCCAGGTAGTATTGCTGGTTCTTCTGATAGACTTGACGAGCCTCTTCGGACGAGCCCTTGATCTTCCACAGAAGGCGAGCCCATTCGGCGACGAGAGCCGCCTTTGTGGCGAGGTCACATTGTGGCGAGTCAAGCTGGGTCTTGTACACCTCGATGGCCGCTTCAAGTCCGCCGTGGCGACGCGACATGTTGGCCAAAGACACTATCGTCTCCACGTGGTTGGGAAGATGGATCAGGATGGCCTCGTGAATCTCCTTGGCAACATCCACACGGTCGCTCATCTCCTCGAAATAGGCATACTGCAGACGCGTGGTCGGGTTGGCAATAGGTACGTACAAGCAGCTTGCACGTTGGTAGATAATGCGCACTTCCTCATCCTTGCCGGGCTGAGCGGCCATCCACCGGGCATAACGCTGCCAAAATTCATCGTAGTGAGCGCAAGTCACGAGACACCTCTCGTACAAGAACTGGATACGGGCATAAGATCCCTCGGACTCCTCGAAATCCAAGTACTTCTTCCAGTTCGATAGCTGACCTTCATCCAGCTCAGTAACATGGAAGTATGGACGCTTGATCTCCGACTCGTAAGTCCAACGCTTGGTGGTCTCGGTCTGGGTCTTGGAGAAAACCTCAAGGTGGTGACTATCGACGCGCAGTCGGATGTCTCTTTCAATTTCAGCCTCGGCCTTTGCACCAGGGGCAATCTGCCCCGCAGCGGCGTCGAGCTCCGCACGGAATTGTGACAACGTTTCGGGGGACGCCAGTTCGGCGACAGGCCGAGCTTGTGCCAATTGTCTATACCGCTCGAAGTACCGGGCATACTGGTGCATGGGGATGTGAATAACCCGACCCAGGATGGCGAAGATCTTGTCAACGGCCTCCACACGTTCCTCGAACTCGATGTACTTATCCCAGAACGGGTGCGCCAGAAAGTCCAGGCCGACACTGCTTGCACCACGTTCAAAAAGCCTGTGCACAAGCGAGAGAAAGGTTAGCAAGCCATTCCACGCTGAAGGTCAAAGACCAATGGGAGGGAGTGGGAGGAGGATGCGGGGGAGGATGGGGAGAAGATGACAAGGATAGCAAACATGAGCATCAGATTTCCAATGCCTGCGAGTCCGAACAATTGAACAACCAAATTGTGAGAACGGTGGATGGGGACGTCTGTTTTTTCTTCCTTCTGCACCGAGCGCAGAGTAGGCGTCACCGAACACAGCCGATGATATCCGTGCAGGGCAAGGTGGTTGAGACGTCAAATCAGAGAATTCAAAACTTCTTCTTTCAAAGGGGGGGAGGGAGATAGAACAGCCTGAATAAGCCATGGGTGAGAAGTAAACTCCAGTTTTCTTTTTCTTTGGAACCCGGGTAAGGTGAAATCTCACCCATCATTGAGGGAACTGTTGCCCGCGGAGATTTGCACCCCGCAGGTTCGGCACAACAACAATGTCCGTGCTGCATTGATCATGGTTACGAGGGCAAGGAAAGGAAAAAGCAGCTTTAGTTATACTTACTCTCGAATCACGTCAGCGTCGTGAGAAGTCTCGGCCTTGAAGGAGCAGTAGTTGGTCCATAGGTCGACCGAGGGGGAGATGCTAGCAACACCTCGCTCATAGACCTGTAGCTATTAGCGACCACCTCACAGGTTGTTGGGAAGCAGGTGAGCCATGCGTACCATATCTGCAGCTTCAGTTCCGGTGAGGGAGAATTCCAGGTCGGCATACTTCTTCCAGTATCCGAACAGCAGAGGGAATTTGGCGAGGAAGCGATCGTAAACATTGCGGACGGTGGTAATAGCTTGGGGGTTGGAGTTGCGGTTGATGCCACCCTCCAAAGCCTCGGCAGCGCGAACAAGTTTCTCCCATGTCTCGAAGTTATCCGGGTCATCGAGCTAGAAGGAAAAGCCAGTGTCAGCTCGTGGGGTCCTAAAGCAACCTCGAAAGAGCGCAAACAGCTGAGCAGGAAATTCAGTTCATACCAATTCAACTTCAAGCTTCCTCAACTCCGCATTCTCTTCCTCGGAACCTCCATAATTGTAGTCCGCCATGATGGCAGCAGTATGAGCGGGGGTGGCCGTTGTACGGATTTGCTGTTGAAATTCCTAAGAATCCGGGGAAGAATAACCAAGAAAGGAGGAGAGATCAACAAAAGCAACAAAACAACAACAAGAGACACGATCCGACGAGAAGGGGAGGGGGAGTGTAGAAGAAGGAGTCAAAGTTGGTGAATCCCGCAAGGAGGAAAGGCGACAAGCGTAAGTAGGCGAAGACGGATGAACCTTGGACCTTTGCACTCCAGGCTAGTGTACGTACTTGCGGAACTAAGCCTCTTCGGATTTCTGTTTTCTCTGAAGTTTGCCTTTCTGCTGCGGGCATCTTCTGCCCTTCGCTTCCGCCCGACCGGATCTAACCTTCTTGCTGCCTCAGGCTTCTATTTGTGCTTCTCTCTCATCCCTCCCAAAACAGACTAGCGCCGCCTTCCAACCGTCTGGGTTTTGAATGCAAAGCAATCAAAAGTGGTGGAAAAGATAGCACGACTTCAACGCTCAACCCTTCCCCCCTCCCCCTCTTCCCCCCCCCCCGTCCTCCTTCTCCTTTCGCAAGTCCTATCCCACGTCCAATTCGTACAGGAGGAACCCATCGGCAAGGGCAAACCCCCCCCAAGCCTCACAATGGCCACTCCCCAAGCCGCCAGCAGCCTGGCCTCCCGCCTGCCCACGCGCCTCCGCAACTTCTTCGCCCGCTATCCTCCGCAAATCTATTCCACGACCGTACGCCCACCGGTCACAATCCCCAAGCCATTTGCCCTTGCCCAGGCGGCGGCCGGCGCTGCCCTGAACACCACCACCACCACCACAACCACCACTACCTCCTCAACCTCCAGCAGCAGCAACACGCCAGTCACCGACGCGATCGCCGCCTCCCACCTCCCATCCCCATACACCCCGAACCGCGAAGCGAAGGGCTACCAGCCGCCGGACCACAAGTACTCGGACGCGCTGCTGTGGAAGGGGCCCAAGGGCCGGCTCAACCCGTTCCTGCCGCGGAAGCTGGGCGAGCGCAAGTGGGAGGGGCCCCGGATCAGCCTGCGCCGGCAGGCAGAGCTGGTGAAGCTGGCCCGCGAGTTCGGGGTCGAGGAGCTGCTCCCGCCCTCGCGCAAGTCCGCCGAGTACAAGGAGGCCCGCCGCGCCGAGAACCAGGGCCTGGCCGTCAAGGGTACCGGTGTCGGCCAGAAGGTCAAGGGTCACAAGTGGGAGCGCACCATGGAGGCGCGCCTCGAGGACCGCCGCAAGGCCATGCTCGAGATGCCGGAGATGGTGCGGTTGTGGAAGCAGGTACGTTTCCCTCTCCCCTTTCCGTTTTCCACCTTGTCCTGGAACAAAATTCTAGAGGGTTATGTATGGCTACTAATGCGTTTTTGTTTCATTACAGAGAGGTCACGGTCGTGGTTGGAAGCAGTGGCCCAAGAAATAGAGCGCTTTCCCGCCTTAATTTCTTGTTTTGGTTCTTATGCTCCCCCGGGTTTCCTCGCTTTTCGCCTCGGGACTCAATTTCTCCAAACATGGGTTGGGTCCGGATATTGTCGGGGGCTGACTTCTGGGGCCTGGGATGGATGCAGGTTACTACATTGTCCAGACACTGCCCTCCCTTCTTCGGGTAAGGTTTGATTGACCATCAGCATCATTCGCCATCATCGTCATCATGTTTCGGAACGGGAGTTATCTGTTTCTATTATGTACTGTACAAATAGTTATATTGTTCTATATCAAGTCATGCATTCGAGTACCCTATTCCAGTATCCAATTCCACTCTGCATTTCTGCTATCTGGTATCTGCTAAGTTATTGCGCACTATAAAAAATGCCCTTAGAACGCCTTACTTTCATATGCAAAAATAAAACCGTCACAGCCCAATCACGAACCAAAAGACGGATGCACAATATCACCAACCATGACCGTCCGAGACACAGCGGAGGCCCCTTCATCATCCAGGGCCCCCGACGAAGCCAACCCAAGATGCCGTCCAAAGTAAATCTTATTGCCAACCTTCCGCGTCTTCGCCAACGTCGAATAGGGCTCGTCCCCACGTACGCCCGTGTACTGATCCACGCATACCATCTGGCACCGTTGACACGACCCTAAAACATTGAACGGGATACTATTGGGCCCAATGCGCACGCTCTGCCACCCATCTTCCACGTAAGGCCTCTCGGCGTTGGCCGACCTGGGGATTCTCTCCGCGACCACGATGTTGGCGCGGAACACATCGGCGGCGACTGCTTTCTTGTTGCTGCTGCCATTGCCGCTGCTGCTCGCGGTGTTGTTGCGCTTGATCGCCTCGTTCAGGCGGTTGACGGAGGAGCGCGAGATGAGGAGGATCGGGCTTTCGTTGGACAGGAGGATAGGATTCTGCGGCGACGCCAGCTGAGGATCTTGCGGGAAGGAGCCGGGCATTGTCGTCCGCGCCCGCAGAGGCGAATTTCTATTGACGAGGGGGCCGGTTGAGGACGCAGATCTTGTCGTCGACGATTGCGGGGGGAAGCGCGCGAGGGTGCATGGCACACCCAGAAAGTTGGAGAAGAAAGAGGAGACTTCGTGCGATGTGTACGCCTGCACGATGACTTGGTCACCGCAGACGGTGGAGGGCTTGGAGGAGTTCTGACATAGCGAGGTGGACACGAGGTTCAGTTTCCCGCGATGAAGGGGAATTTCCAGGTATTGTCCATGTGTAGAGGATGCGCCGCCGCATGTGATCCGCAAGAATCCGCCAGCAAGGTCGATGACCGGCCGTATCAGCGCCATGCGCGGATATCTCTTCTGGTTGAGCGCCACACCAGTGCCCTGGTGAATCAGGCACCATTCCCTGTCCCATGCCAGTCCCTCCGGATGGATCTCCCAGCGTTTGCCGTCAGGCACTTTGAATGCAGCGCAGCTTTTTATAGGGTAAATTGATAGACTCTCCACATAGAACTCCGGTTGCTGGATGAGGTTGTTGTCCACTGGCGGTGCCAGAGTACACACATCCACACTCTTCTCCACAAAGAACTCTTCCAAGAAGGCCACGAAAGTGTTGATGTCCCTTGAACTGCTCATCGCACCAAGGCTGGCCCTCAAGATGCCAGTCGGTCGCCCGTCCATGATATCATGATCATCGCCGCAACGCAACCCATGAGAGAAATGCCGGAGCATGTCGGCACCAGTCCAATCCAGGCTAGCCGCTGTGCCTCCAGGGTTGCAAAGAGTACCGGATCTGATCTGAATGTTCTTGACGGCTGCCAGTCTCTCCACCTCGGACTTACCAATCCACGTACCCTGACTATTCTGCAGATTGAATGCCAGGATCGGACCTTGCAAAGACGAATCACTATAGTCAACGTGGGGCGACGCATAGACATGACAGACTCTCTCCCCGTTATGATGCCGCAAAGCAGTCATGCGATCATGTAGTTTCCCGGCCAAGGAGCGCGTGTGCGACGAGACATTGCTCATCGAGCCGAAGAGGCGCGCGTGCGTTTCAAAAGCCAGATCCAGCGCGATGATACTATGGAATGGCAGCGTCCCATCTTCCAACCGTTCGTGTATCGAAGACTGCTTCTTCGCATGCCACGGCGTCTCTTGCGTGAGAACCATATCCACCGTCCCACCACCAAAGAACCTCCGCTTATCAAAGATCTGCCCTGCACTCTTGCGGACAATCAATGCCCCAAGATCCGGAAATCCGAAGATCTTATAGAAACTGAGCGCCGTGAAATCCGGGGCGTTTGCTGCGTCGCTCAGATCGAGCGGAGATGTGGAGACCAGGGAAGCGGCATCGAGCATGGTATAGACCCTTTGGGCAGACATGGTACGGATCTTTTCACACCATCGGAGCGGAAACCGACGGCCGTTCATGTTCGACTGCGCAGGAAACGCAAACAGCCGGTTGCCCTCCGCTGGGGCAGAGCCCAAGTCAGACATCCAGCGCTCGACCTCATCGTCAGACATGAAGCATCGACTCCCGAGCGCCGCGAGCTCACGAGCCCCAACCAAGCTCGTGTGCGCGTCGACATGGTAGCCATACCAGAATCCTTGGGGCGTTGCATCGCGCAGAGCATCGGCGACTAATTTGATAGCCGCCGTGGCGTTGGCCACAAAGACAAGATCGAACTCTTCGGGGTCAGCGTTAAAGAAGCGAAGAGCTCGTAGACGTGTGTCGTCTATCCGCTGCGTCGATCGCTGGGAGGGCGCGGACAGTGAATGCGGGTTGCCGTAGATGTTGGAGGTGAGGTCACGCGAAAACGCGTCGATCAGAGACTTTGCATATAGGGTCGTCCCGGCATGATCAAGGTAAGTAGTATCTAAGAAAGTCGAGAGTGTCAATAGATTGCTCTTTCTTGTGTGTAAGGCTAGCTGACTCCAGTAGGCGAACCTTTCAGCAAGGGGTATTCGCGCTCCCGAATGACATCAATGTCTTCCGGATAGCTTTGTATGTATTCAGACCCTACTTCTTTTATTCTGGAGTCACCCATCTTGCCCAACAGTCCGCAATATCTTGAGCAGCATCAGATCTCAAAGTTGATTGCTTGTGGTGTATGCAGTCGAAGTGAGCATTGCCGTGGAGAATCGAGATCGGGGTGGCGACCGGTTGTTCTTGCACGCTCACACATACAATGCTCCGGGGGGCTTGCGTAATGACTCAGGGAGGGAGAATTCAGAACGAAAAGGAGCTAGACAACAGGGAACCCAGTAGTCACAGGTAGTTTGAAATCATATCAGTGATAGAGGAAGACGGGATGATGGTGTCAGGAACCACAGCCTAACTAATACTTTATTTCAATGACTTGGGCCGATAAGGCTGTTTATCGGAGCTTACCGAACTTGAGCTCCAACGGTTTGGTTTGCCACCGATAATTATCCTACCCTCAGCAGCAGGAAACGTCCAAAAAGTCACAGGAATATTCTTGAGGAAATAGCCAAGAAATGTAAGGAGATGTTGAGCGGCCGAGGATAAATGATTAAGCAGAAATCTGTGGGACAGTCCGAAATGTTATACTTTGTTCTTTGAGGCACCGAAGCGGATGAGAAGTCAAGCTCCCCCACTCCTGCTTTCTTATCGAGCGCGGGGAGCGGCGGCCAGATCCGATGATCCTGGCTTGCATCATTCTTCTTCAGGACTAGATCATTTTCTCAAAAGTGGAGGCCTCAATACAAGGCACAATGTACTGTACGATGGCGATATTCATTTCAGAAAACAATATCATATGACACATAGATCAGCCGTACAAAGCATTAACATCCCCGGGCTGCAATCGAGCACAAATCATGCGGTATATCTTTCAGAGAGAAGCACAATCAAAGGAATGTGCTTGAGGCGGTAAATGCAAAATAGTATCAAAGGAAACAGTATCTCGTAAGTCGTGAGCGCGATCGCATCGCTTCATGGGCCTAACCCCCATGCCGGCCCTTTATGCATCGTCAACGATTCCCATCATTAACCATATACCATTCCATCATAGTCCGTAAAGTCGTAAATGAGAGAAGCCAGTCCTAGACTTCGTAGTGATGTCGGCTGCGCGAGCTGCTATGGCGCCGATGACCGCGTCGACTGCTGTGACTTCGGCGCCGCACAGTCGTCTCCTTGACAACCGTGTCCGGTCGGCGGTAGATCATCATCGCCAGTATCGCCGTCCAGAAGAACAGGATCACCTCGATTATCCCCAATGCAAAGCAAGCTTTGAGCATGGCGCAAGTCTTGTTGATGTGGAATGACAGCGGATTGTCCGAGGTGTAGCCATAGTATCCGAAGGGACCGAGCGAAATGTACACCGAGCCTCCATTCCAGTGCGCACAGTCCGCATTCGTAATGAATCGCAGCTCGTAGACCCCTGCAATAAATGCGCCGAAGAATAGTAGATCCACGAAAGCGACGAACATTGCCGAACGGCGAGTGGTAGAAATCCGAATCATGGTGTCGATACACCAGAAAGCCGCAATAACGCTGACAATGAAAATAACCAGGATATAGGCCGGGGTTATCATGTTTGCGTTAAGATAGCCGTTGACGAAGTAGGCCTATCATGCGGATGTCAGTTGCACTCCTTGAATGGGGTCAAGTCTAGTTGTGGAATGTGCCTACCATCATTCCGATGATCGGAATTAGCAGAATAAGCTCTAAGAGCCGATTGAGGATGAAGAAGAGACTGCCAATCATCTTGCCGGCTGTTTTTCGCACAATGCGCGCGATCTAATTCGACTCAACGGCTGCTGAATTGGCTGTAAGATGATGTGTCGAAATTCAAGATGGCTGCAGGATCAGATAAAACAAACGGACTGGCGAACAGCTACAGCGTCATCATACACTCAATGAAGACTGGCGACGGACGCGAAGGGCGATAGGAATGAAGATGAGACCAAGGCCGGAACAAGGTACAGCCAGGCTCTGACGTTGCGCCGGACAACGTATAGTGAGTAGTGAGTGGATCGGTTAGGTGCCGATCTAAATGTAACTCGATTCTTTTGAAAAGCACGAGAGAGAAACCCACACGCAGTTAGATAAAAGAGAAGCAAGGGTGCAGATGATGCATGCCAGAAGACAGAACTCAACAGGAGAAAAACTGGCAGATGAAATGAAAAGAATGGGTCGGTCGGAGGAAGAATATGCAGGTCGGAGAAAGGAAGAGGGGAGGCTGGGCGACTGAGGGCGCGGGGTGGCTGGGAGAAGGGAGAATCGACGATGAAGTCGTTACAAGGGCGGCTCGCTGCGTCTCACCATAGCCTGACTATGATGACATTGAAGCGGTTGATCTTCCAAATAGCCGTAGATTGGAGGGAGGAAACATAGACTAAATTAGTTCAACGTAACGTTACCTTATTTGTTGGTCTTGGTTGTCCATGAGCATCATGGCATTGTTTACTGCAGCAACAATAACAATAACAACCACCGGTCATCGGTGGGGCCGCCACGAGGGGAAGAAAGAAAGTCTAGAGCCAGCCATCAATGATCATCAGGGACAGCCTCAATGTTCAATTACCATGGAGTAACCATCCGAAGGGAAGAGGCAGTCAGCGTCAGCGAGGTAGTCATGACACTCTAGAAGTTAGATTAGTATAGCCAAGTATGTACTTGTACGGTACATTGTGTACAGTTTGTATAGTACATGCCGCAAAGACTGCGCTGTGATCACCGCCTGCGGTTATATCATCGATCCACTCATAGAAACCTCTCGAAAAAAGCCCACTTACCGCCCGCAAATCCATGGTCGTAAGTAGGCCACTGTACTAGGTATAGCGAACCTCTGGCCATTTGGAGCAAATGTTGCTGTCTCTGTCATTTCCCGCCCGTTGTTTGAACTCAATAGTGTACCTTAGCCACCGAAAAAGAAGCAAGAAGACAAGACAAGGACCAAAAAAATTAACTAAGATCCACCATCACAGTAAGAGCCCGAAAATGTTACATGCAAATGTGCTGGTATATGTTCTATAAATGGCAACATGATGAATACCCCTCGCATCGATGCGACCGGGGGTAGCCCCGGCTAAGGTCTTATACTTCCCGCGAATGCAGCTCGGTCAGATCCCGCCCACGATCAAGCTGAGCAGTCATCACTCGTGTGGGTGCATGGAGAGCTGTGGCCGCCTGTGGCCGTTGCGAGTCATACGTCGTGTCAACCTCGTATTGTGGAATCGATCCACCCAGTCCCGGGTTGCGTGCTCGAGTATACCCAGACTGCATCTCATAGCCATTTGCGTGAACGTCCTCGCTGGATGAGGACCAATTCCCGTCCTCGTCCTGCGATCGACGAGTGTACATATTCGTAGCGTAGGGATTTGATGTGGGGATGTAAGCAGCGCCATTGTCTGCACCAACCATCGGCTTCGACTGACTGTCTGCTGCCGGATGACGGAGCGCGGCAGTACTATCCTCGAATCTCGCCAAGTTCAATGGATTCGATGGGGGTAGCGGCTCTGTACCCCAGCTGCGGATCGGATGCGCGCGACCTTTTTTCCAGGGCTGCGAAAGAGGTGGGAAATACTGATGATAGGAGATAATGGCGCAGAGAATCCCAAGAAGCGATCCTGTAATGACGTCGAAGGGGTGGTGTCTCGCATCCATAATGCGACTCACCGCAACGAGGGTAGCACCCAGGCTCGGTATCATGACCAAGAGTGCTTTCCAGACCTCACCTTTGTTGTCCATTATATGCAGTTTGCCACTCATCCAGAGCGTCAGGTAGAACAAGCCAGCAAATGACGCTGTAATGTAAGTCAAGTCAGGGATTAGTTTCAATCTTTTGCATCGCAGAGACAGTCTTACAGCTACTGTGGCCTGTTCTTATAGGTCAGCATACGATCACTGTCGAAATGTTTGCGGTGTTATCGAACCTGATGGCCATGAACGGAAGCCATCCTTGATAAGCGCATGTTCCCCCGTGCAGATGGTAGAGTTAGACAAGCCCGGAATCGCATCCTGGCTTCCTGCGCGAGGTTGGCACCGATCAATAAAATCGGGCCGAGGCTTGCCACAGGCGTTCTTCAATGCTTGCGTGATGACGAACGTCAGCCCCTGAGAGAGCAGAAGCCCCAGTATCCCACAGTTAAACTCCCATAGTCGGTCCTTCCACCGATACGGGCCTGAGAATTTCCGCTTGCCGGATACTGGATCCTGTGGTTTGTTGTGGGAGAAGAGTCCATCTATAAGAAGGGTATAGACGGCAATGATGACCAAAGGTGCCACTCCGGAGATACAGAGAGCTTCCTGTATCGTGATACGCTCGTGAACGGCATATGGATACTGGATGGAAATGTTTCGTAGCGAGAAATGCTGGTGGTAGGGTTCGATGGAGTCAAGAGCATAGAACCCTGCAATGCAGACACTGTTGCAGTCTTGTTAGCAGGACTCGTGGCGGTCAGTGCATGATGTAGACAAACACGAGAATAACATAGTCCGCGATATATCTGGAGCGAGAAGAGAGCGTTAGCCATTTCTCTTAGGTTTGGGATGAAGTAGGCAGAGCAAGCCTCTCTCTGGACTTACGAAAGCACAACCCGCGGCCTCAGGCGCTGCTTGGAGAAGAGCAGCTTCTCGGGCAGGCGATTCATCATGCAATGAATGCAGCGCCTAGCGATATTCAAATTTTTAAAAATCAAAGCAGGTCACCAAGAATTGAAGCTATGTCTAGCAAGTAAACTGTTGGTATTGTTGTTGAAGATTACGTCTGATGGCTGTTGTGTAGGAAAATCGAGCACGTGAGGGAATCAATCAGCTACCAGGTAGGTAGTTAGGTTGCTGCCATTCGAAACACCAGTTGATAAAGGAGGCGGAGTCCAATTGAAAGAAACCCCAAAATGCTACCAAACGTCGTCTTCAAAGGACGAAACGTGCGAAGTACAGAGGATGAAAGGGAGAGATAGTTGAGAAGAGAGAGAGAGAGAGAGAGAGAGAGAGAGAGAAGGAGTCGAGAAGTCAGAAAAACGTTTGCTCTATTGTAGGCCCGCGGGTGGGCGAACTTAAATGGTTGGCATCGCCCGCACGATCAGCGTGAATTGAAGCCTTGGTATCTTGGTATCAGCGGCTGGGTATAAATAGTTGATAAGTTACAACGAAGTTACGGAGGATTGACCGCCCAAAGAACAACCGTCTTCCGCCTACCTACAGTCTCCGGTCCACCCCCGCAATGTTTGACAAGCCGCTCAGCCACTTCTGCACGTACACGCCATAGGGCTGCTGGATGCCGGTGGGAATTTAAGAGAAATAATAGCTATCAGCTATGTTGGAGCCGTCACAACCGGGAATCAGTCCCCAGACTACGACAACGCACTCGATTGCTCAGTAAGACTCCATCATCTCATTGTTCTATGTCAACTCTGTTCCTATTAGCTCCTCTTAAATGAGCCATCACTTACAAAGGTCATACCTTGTGGACAAGTCCAGTCCTTGTTCAGATAACCCGAGGATTCATTCGCATGCATTGTTCCGGCCAGGAAAAAGATAATGAGTTGGTATCCGGCGGGATCTAGAACCCACATACAAAAAAATACCAACCCTGAAATGATGCTGCCTAAAGTCTTGTCTTTCTTAGGACTCCACCCGGAGACCAGCTCATCGTACCAGCTAACCACGAGTCGTCCAGAATAACTGCAAAGGCGCCTCACTGGCAATCATGAGCCGAATGACATTCGATATAGTACATTTTCACTAAATACTACCTTGGCTGGCAGTAAGACAGCCTCTCAATCAGAAACCTCTTATAACCGTCTGACCATCAGTCCCGGCTCTCATTTGTGCCAAAATCATAGAAAAGAATCACATTGCCAAAACTAGAAGGGAATATTCAGTATAAATTAAGAAACGAAAAAGTATGAGTCCAGGATTCATGTTCGCGTTTTTGTCCGATGGATCAGCCGTCAAGGAAACCAAGTTAGCAGACGGTGATAAATAGACCGAGACTATGGCTTCTGGTTAGCTGGGGGTCTTTTAATAGATGATCATCGGAGTATACTCACGGAGATGGGTTATAGTCCTCGAAGAAGTTGAGGTAGGTGTCACCCGTGCCCTTCATTTCATAACCCACGGTTTGACCAGCCGGGCACGAGAAAGAGGCAACCAGGTAGGAGTTTCCGGGTGAAATGGTGATCTCTCCATAGTCCTGTTTGACCGACGGAGCGCTGTTATAGGTGGTCTTCAGCCCAGCAGCAGATGTCAGCTGAGAGAAGTCAACCTTGCCGTCACCACTGAAGGTGTAGTCAGAGGTCTCGAGATCCTCCTTATTAGGGAGCAAGAAGATAAGGCTGCATGTCTTGCCGGAGTCAGAAGATGGGATATCGAAATTGAAGATGGTCGACACTGTGGACGAAACAGTGCCGAAGAGCTGAGAGCCATAGGCGGTATCAGGGGTGGAGGAGTTGACAGGGACAATAAGATGAGGATATTCATAGTCACCAGACAGATCAGTTGGGCAGCTGGCAGCGCCTGAACGAGTAGCGGAAGCTGATGGTTGAGTACTGCTGGCGCCTCCGGATGTTCCTGAGGGAGCAGATTGAGTGCTCGCAGGCTGGGTTCCGGTGGGTTTAGTACCGGGAGGCTGAGTACCAGCGGGCGGCGTCCCGGCAGGCTGCGTTCCACCAGGTGTAGTTCCTGCAGGCTTAGTACCGGCTGGCTGTGTTCCACCAGGTGTAGTTCCGGCGGGCTTGGTGCCGGCAGGCTGCGTTCCACTAGGTGCAGTTCCAGCGGGCGGAGTGCCGGCCGGCTGAGTTCCGCCAGGTGCAGTTCCAGCGGGCTGAGTTCCACCAGGTGCAGTACCGGCGGGTTGAGTTCCTGCGGGCTGAGTACCGGCAGGCTGAGTACCGGCCGGCTGAGTTCCTGCGGGCTGAGTTCCTGCGGGCTGAGTTCCTGCGGGCTGAGTTCCTGCGGACTGAGTACTATGAGGAACACCTGGAACACTTGTTCCGGGAATTGGGATCGGAACAGGAATAGGCTGGGTGCCAGCAGGTTGAGTTACGCCAGGCTGACCGGGATGAGTGCTAGCGGGTTGAGTGCCAGCGGGCTGAGTACCGGCGGGTTGGGTTCCCGCGGGTTGGGTTCCGGCAGGCTGAGTACCGCCAGCGGGCTGAGTGCCGGCGGGCTGGGTTCCAGCGGGTTGGGTTTCACCAGGTGCAGTACCAGCAGGTTGGGTTCCACCGGGTGCAGTGCCGGCGGGCTGAGTTCCTGCGGGTTGAGTTGCTGCAGGCTGAGTGCCGCCAGCGGGCTGAGTGCCGGCGGGCTGGGTTCCACCAGGTGCAGTACCAGCAGGTTGGGTTCCACCGGGTGCAGTGCCGGCAGGTTGTGTACCCTGAGGAACGCCTGGAACACTAGTACCAGGAATTGGAATCGGTACAGGAACACCCGAAGATCCTGCTGCGCAATTGGATTGGATCACGGTAGTGGTGACGGTAACTGTCTGAGCGGAGGCACATCCAGCGCCAGGCACTGGTGCACTGGAGATAGGACCACCCGGGATCGAAGCAGAAGATTGACCTGGGGAAACCCCGCCAGGGACACCTGTGCCTGAAGCAGCACCGCCAGGAATATAGGAAGATGATTGACCTGGAAGAACCGAGCCGGGTTTGCCAGATTGGCTGGGCACCTGAACCGAGGATACTGCAGTAGCTGTGCCGCCGCCGCTGCCGCCGCCGCCACCTCCAGTACCAGCACCAGAACCCGAGCAAGAATCGGCGGCCAGCGTGATGCTTGAGCATCCAGTCACCGAAGAGCTCTCAGTGGTATAGATGTTCAATTCACCGTTGTCACCCGTCTGGCATGCCACAAAGGTAGAGTCGCCCTGGTACTCCAGCTGACCGCCGGACGAAATCGAGAAGCCAGTCTGGGCGGTGGTACCTAAATCACACTGGAACTGAGTCACAGAACCTGTCAGCGTACAACTGGTTAGCATTGGTTCTCGCTTTAGCATCGTCGGGAATCAAGACCTACTAGTCACAACACAACCACGTCCGCTGCTATCAGTAATTGCACCATTCGAATCGATGCAGAACGAGGCTGCAGCAAGACCACCACCGAGACGATTCTGGCCATCACCAAGTTGGCCCACCGTGCCAGATGCGGCGCCCGAAGCAGTCAGGTGGAAGCAGCACGAGTCGGCGCGGCTGACGAGGGCATTTCCTCCAGCAGCGAAAGCTGCAAGACTTGCAAAGTTCTTCATCCTTGCACTAGCGAGCTTGGTCGGCAGCTAGGGGGGTGAATGGACTGGACGGCTTCCACTATAGGGCAAGGTTGTTGTTGTGACAAGAACTCAAAAGTGACAATCAGGGCATGTGCAATTCTTTATAAGAGATGGTGGGTATAACCAGGAACGTCATACTATCTGTTCCGACACAACAAACAGGTCCCAGGGAACACGACCAAGTACCTCCACATGCAGATCGAGGGATTTGAAGTAGACCGCAGCTAGTTGCGATGAGTCTGCAAGGTCGACAAGACCATGGGCCCGGTGAAGGGCCACCATGGGCCCAGCCAGACATGGCCGATTAGCCAACAGACAGTCAGCGAATTGGCCGGCAGGGTCGGGTCTGGACACTGTCGTGGGTCGGCAAGAGCACTAGAGTAAACGTCATAAAGTCCTGAGCATTGTGGATATGAGAACCCTTGTGAGTGGCTGTTATTCTGGCAATAAGGCAGTACTGTAAAAAGGCAGCCGTATCAGTGGCCGGGGTATCTCAGGGCTTTCAAGCTCGGTGGAGCCGGCCCCATCGAGCGGTGCCTCTGGATCGGCCAGATGCCCTGCCTTGATCGATGAGCTCCCGATTGATGGGGTTTGAGCAGCGGTCAATTGCGACTCTGTGGCAAAACAACATACCATCCACGGTTTTGTCCGCCGTTCAGCGACCCATAGCAGGGTTCCAAATTTGCCTCTCACCAGGAACTGGACATTGATGTTCCCAGGAACGCGTTGTTTCTATTCATATTTACCCAGCCGACAGGCAAGCATAAACCCACCATCACAGAGCATTTAGTGGGACAGGCTTTGTGTAGTAGGAGTACATTACAAGGTACGATATGCGCAACGAGCAAGTCCGCGTAATGGAGGAAGCGGGCCCTCCGTTTGGAGCCATATGACAAGTGGACAACGGCAAGTTCGGATTCCTCTTCGAATACATTGCATCATTCCTTCCGTATACAGGCCGTGTTTTGGATCAGTCTCTTCCACCACATGGAGTGCGGAGTAGTGCGATGACCAACAATTCGGCTGGACAGGAGGTTTCCGTCGGACATCAACCGCCTAGGGTAGGCGAGATTCCCACCCGTCTGCATGTCATCATGGGATAACTGAATGTGATTGCAGCATCAGAATCCCGGTATGAAGGAGAGAGGGGGGATGGTGTGGATGGGATGAATCGGGGAGAAGGAAGAGTTCCAGTTGAGTTCGTTTCATCTGAAACAGACAGGAAAGCCAAGTGACGGAGACACCGGAACTCATTCGGGGGGAGTGGGGTTGGTGGGAGGAGTGGAGGAGTGGAGGAATGGTGGGACTCAGCAGGGGAAAAACAGGGGATGCAGCCACTCATCGGACAGCCACATCAGTCATCGTTGTAGAAGTGGGCCATGACGAAAGCCACAGCCAACGGCATTGCTTCTGGTTGGATTGTTTGATGGGGATGTGCATTGCATTCATCATCATCAGGACTATTTTTGTTTCTCAACTGCTCATCTAATAACAATCGTTAAGAAATATCCCGATGCTCTTGTTCCATTCCCTCTTTATTCTTTTTCTAGATAAATACTATGTCGATCGACTCACCACGTCATTCGGAATTGTGTGTATCGCGGTGGTTGTCTGTGCGCTACAAGCTTGCACCACAGTCTACTGTGTAAGCGATTGAAAAAGGAGGATCTATTCTAGAGAAAGAGCACTTGCAATTGACTGCCATGTACTGTACACAGACCATACAGCCTTGTGCGGCTGGGTTCCATAAGGTTTAGCCCAATGTTTAATGGTGGATGCTATAGGTCGCTTCACTTCTTAATCCCACCTTTGTCTTGTTATGCAAACCATTGTATGATGATAGTACTATGTAGTGGTGTTTGAGTCCACGAAAGTATACCGGACCTGGAAGAATTCTCACATGCGCCTCTAACAAAGCTAATTGACTATCTATAGATTAGCTCTGATTCCCAATGGATTGTCGCAAATGATACTAAGACCTTCCTTGCACCTACACATAGTTGAACATCTAAAGTAGTACAAAGAGTTGACTCCGATACTCTCCCTATACCTGTTCAAAAAAGGATTCTAGTTATTCCCTTATTTATCATTGAAGAAGCGCAGAGTGATTTAGCATCGAACGTACAGTACTCCGCACTGTACACATGTAACTTACTGAGTATCTCAGCTTCTCCCCCGCGCATAGGAACCGTTACGCATGCTTCTGCCATCATATCAAGATCCTCCTGGGTCCTTCCTATTCCATCCATCATGCCACACTTGATTACTCGGTACAAATTCCCGCATTCCTGCTGGCAGTGCTCGGGTATTCAAACTGAATTTTTACCAGTCATTCTAGCCTTCGGAGTCAAAAACACCGGACCCACACTATCCAGAACTCCCAAGTGCCGGAAGGGAAGGAAACTTTCCATCGGCTTTTTCTTGAAGAAAAAGAAAGAAAAACAACAACAAAATAGGATCATCCGATCCACCCACATCTTTGACCCTGTCCGATCGAGAATTGGCAGCCGTCATTGATTTCCAAGCCAGTCTTCCCCTCTTCATGGACCGTGGATAGACTATGCCCTGCATAGTTCTCTCCCCGACTACAAGATGCTGTCAAGTGCATAACAGGCTAGAAGAGAACGAGGATTATTGCATAGGAGTAATATAATGAGGAAACACAATCGTGCCGTAGTCATACCAGCCAATTCCCTTCCCCCCCTTCAGCATGTTACTCATACATGCATGGCCCACTTGTCTATGGCTCGTCACCAAAAACAAGTACTCAGTAACTCGTGCTGATCGATTGGCTGTACCTGCCTAGAGAGACGATGGAATGTCAAATGCTTTGTCGATTGGATGGAACAATGGGCGGGGAGTGCCATCAATCCATGGACGAGCAATACTGACGTCGATGTCAGTTGCAGATCACTTCCATGAAGACATATATTTCCCGCACTGGAGGAACCAATATTGCAGGAAGTGGTACGCAAGCGATTCTCCACTTACATGCAGGGAATCTTGAAGTTCACGTTTTTTTCTTCTTGACTTACAGGTATCAAAGACTTGTTTATGGGGGGGGGGGGGGGGGGGGGGGGGGGGGGGGGGGGGGGAGGTGAGTTCGCCGAATCTAATTCAATTGCATGGAGCTTCTTACGACGACAAAACTAAGTTATGTAGCATTGGCTTAATTCCAGCAAAACGGGTGCCGTTCATCTGCAAGTTCAGGTTGTTGGATGTGGATGGATGGAGTGAACAAGAAAGTTCAAAGGCATTGAGTCGTGGCCGCTGATGCACAGAGATAGAGTAGCATTTCCTACGCAGATGGCGCCTCCAAGGTCGGGTTATGAGATAATTGAAGAAATGTTGAGGGTGAAACGTAACCGTATAACCACTCCTTACTGTCTGTAAGTACTCCGTAGAGCCCAATACATCCAATAACGGAAATGCAGTCAGAGAGCCCTTGGTCCTTGATCTTGGACGTTCAGCGCTATGAGCATACCACGAGGTACTGTATACTCAGACATGAGGCTGAAGTCCAATATCTACAGAGAAATTCCTCAGTGCAGTACATCAACGTGAGAAAAAATGAATATGTATTGCCAATCACCATGCAATGTATATAATGGGTATCTGACTTCCAATTGCATCTGATGTTTTTATTGACCTACCTCATGCGCGCGGCCTTGAACTTACTCACACGCCTGGGAGCCTCTTCTGTGTCGAGAGGGACGATTTCAGGCTCTTCGTCAACGAATCCGCCTTGTTCCTTGATCATGCGATTGCGGATCTGGTAAAATTCAGTAGCAATCTCCTTCCGATGCAGCTGTTCATCAAGCTCGTCTGGTTCCGGTGCCACGGCAGACGTCTGAGAAACATCACGTTCAACAAGGGTGTCTGCCAGAATTTTGCCTTCTGGGCCTCTGGGTGCGGGGTCTTCCTCAGGATTAGCTGAGATTGGCTGGGAGAAGGGTTTAGGCTCCGCTGGCCTGGCTGGGAAAAGAGGCAGGGAGGATGGCGCCGGAGAGGGGGTGCCGGTCTTGCGTAAAGACGAGCGAAGTTCGACGGGCCGGGAAGGGCCAGCTGAAGTCTCTGACGCAGTGGCTGGCTTGACTGCACTGTCGTCCGTTTTCCGAGCGCTCTTGAACCGAGAGACTTTCTTCGGTGCGTCTTTAGTCACTGGCTCCTTCGCAACAGGCTCTGTGCGTTCAACCACGGAATCTGCAAGAACAGGTACACTAGATTCACGAACTGGGACAACCTTCTTATCCTGAGTCGGAGGCCTCGGGGCCGGAGCAATGTCGAGGTCGTCAGCAAAGGCAACCTTCTTTTTCGGTTTCTTCTCGAGCACAGGTCCGGTGCCTGTCTCGGTGGTTTTCTCGACACGAACAACACTGGGCTGCTCTAACTCCGCTTTGACATCGGTTGGGAGAGAGTCTGTGTTCTTGCCGATATTCCACAATCCTCGCGCGTTTAACTTGGCTTCCAACTCTCGCATTTCGCGGTGGTAATCCTCATCAAGAACACGTGTCGTAGTTCTCCCATATTCATCTTCCTCCTCTTCGTCATCGTCGTAAGGGTAATCATCGTATTCTTCGTCCACAGAAACGTCGCTTGCATCCTCGTCAAGTTCCAGTTCGGCCACAACCGCTCCAACTTCATTTAGGCTATACTGCAACATATCGCGCCGTAACTGAGCATCCTCTGGCGATTCCTCAATGCTTGCTGCAAGACGTTGGTACTCTAGGAGACCAGCTGCATCCATTGAGGGAGGCTTAGGATTGCTCTCGGGAGTAGTCGCTTCCGGCATTTCCTCCTCCTCGATAGCTGGGGGTGTTACCTCCTCCACCTCAAGTGCAGTCGGGACTTCTTCCGTAGCGGGTGCTTCCGTAGTCCTTGCAGTATGCTGCAACGAGTCTTGATGTGTCGGATTCACATTCGCCGTGTCCGGTATATCGGTGACACCGGCTTTTTGCAAGATATTCAAAAGCTCAGAAGCCTGGCTGCCTGGGGTGTTTGTTGTACTCGAGACGACATTACCGTTTTCGTCAAGTTCTTCAAAGATCTCGGTCATCGGGTATTCGGCCGTGCTTTCACTCGGTAGTTGTTCCTGCGAGTCCAGCGCATACAGTTCGTTCTCTGCGGCGCGTAGTCTCTTCTCCATTGTCGCAACATTTTGTTTCACATAGTCAATACGTCTGTTAATCAGACTGACCACCTGTCCTTTGGTGCGCGTCACGCCGTCTTTCTCACCAAGTATCACCTTCACCTCATCCTCAGTGACCAGCGATCCGCCGAGGCTGTGGCCCACGCTAAGGAAGTCTTCGCGATCCGCATCTTCAGGTAGATCATTTATCTCCTCTTTGAGGCCGTCGTACTCTGCCTCCCAGGTGCGCCAGTGATAAAGTGAGTCTTGGAGTTTCAAGATGTTGCCTTCGAGTTCTAGGCGCTGGCGCTCGAGTTCGTGTAGCTGGCTGTCGGGAACACCCATGATTATATTCATGCAAATCAAGTCTCGAGAATTTAACAAGCGAATGACTTGTACTGGCGTTCAAGATAAGGTGTATTTCACCTGAAAGAGGAAAGTTTGTGTGAATCAAGGTCAAAGACCAAACAAAGGTGGACGGAGAGAGGAGTGGGAAGCGGCGGCGGCAAAGAAAAAAGTTCCGCCGCGGAACAATGGGCGGAATGCCTGATTGGCCCGTGCGGGCAGTTGGATTAATCACCCGTCATTTAGGCTTCATTGCCGCGACACCTGCGGTCTGTTCAACACTTACTCTGCTCTGCCTTGGTCCTCATCAGATCTGTGAGCTGTCAACTATGCCTTCTGCTCGGGATGCTATGGCCAACCGCGGGGATGACGACGGTATGGTCATTTGCCCTGCATCGAAATCCCCCTCCCGTTTGTGCTAACCAGCTCTCTTTAGAGGTGTGCCCTGTCTGCAAATCCTCACGGTACTTGAACCCGGATATGCAGTTCCTTATCAATCCGGAATGTTATCACAAAATGTGCGAATCGTGTGTGGATCGCATATTTTCGTCAGGCCCGGCAAACTGTCCCGTCGCGGGTTGCCACAAGACGCTGCGAAAGGCTCGGTTTCGGAAGCAAACGTTCGAGGATATCAACGTGGAACGAGAGGTGGACATTCGACGCAGAGTGATGCAAATGTATGCCGTCAAGCCATTTGTCTGGTGGACCTCGTAGGATACTGATGCTGTCCGCAGTCTCAACCGCCGTGAAGAAGAGTTCGACTCCAAACGAGCCTGGGACGACTTCCTTGAACAGCGTGAGGAGATCATCGCAAATCTCGTACACGGCACCGATGTGGCCAAGACTGAAAGCGACCTTCAGAAGTATGCTTCAGAAAACATGCGCTCGATTCGCGCCAATCAAGCCCTCGAAGCGCAGGAAGCCTCGTCTTTCAAGGAGCAGCAGACGCATGAGCAGGAACTGGCCCGTCTTCGCCGAGAAGCAGCTAAGCAAGAATACGAGAACGAACGGCGGGAGCTACAAGCCTCTCGGGAGGATGTTCTCTCTCGTCTCGCAGCCGGGCGACCTGGCGACGCTGCGGCTATTGCACGCGAAGGCAAGAAGGTGTTGCTCAAGAAATCATCTGCTCGGCGAAGTGAGGAGGACCGGATCCGACAGAAACAGGCTGCTCTCCGGAACTCGGATGCTAGGAAAGCTGGTCAGGGAGGACTCACGGCTGATAAGGCTGACATTGCTGGCGATTCGGGCTTGATCAAGGGTCTCAAGAAGATCGTGAGTCCGGAACCCGAAAAGGCTTACGACCCATTTGGTGGCATGGTTCCCAACAAGCGGGACTACTATACTTTACGCGACTTCTATCCTTCAAGCTATCTGGACCCTATCCGACAGGACACTCGCATGCAGGCAGGCGGGTACGATCTGCAGGAGTACTACTCTCGTACATTGATGGAAGCTTTCGCTGGCTTGGGCTGCTTTATCGATGAGGAGGTAGCACAACGTGACGGTGCAGGGTCTCTTGGGGGCTCCAGACCTGACGCCACTCAATTTGCTGCCCAGGCGGCAGTTTCAAGTACGGGTACTCCAGAAGCCAGCTGATTGGCGTTATACATAGATTGTTGAGCCCACTGAAGAAGGTGTCCCCTGCTGTTATTTCTGCGCTTCTACTTCGCAGGGGAGGTAGCCTCACCTGTGTTGTTGTATATAATGCATAGCGATGGCGTTTTGATGGGATTTGGGTGCTGCATTGGGGTATAGAGATAACGGACTTGATAATGGATATGATTGATCTAGGTATACAAACAAAGGCAAAGCTAACACAAAGTCAGAGGACACTATTTAACAAGGTCAAAAACATCGACGTGTGGTACATGAAACGTAATGTACAACGCTCCCCATAAGCACAACCATCTAGAACTTGCCACCGGTGATCTCCTCTCCGAGCTTCTTGATTCTGCCCTGAATGGCATCCCAGCGAGCAGATTCACTCCTGCTAGTTTCGTGAACAAGGCTGGAGACAGATTGGGGGTGGCCCAGGTTCCAGATGTTGTCACCCGCCTGGTGATCGTTGCGCCATGCCTCGTTTTCGCCCTCGGGGAAGACCCTTTCAATCTCGGCCGCAAGTTGTTCCTCGGTAGTAATAAACTGCCGTGCATTGACGTACAGATCGTGCAGGTTGCTTCGGCGCTCGGCATTCTTCAGACCTTCTTTCTTCTCAAGTCGACGCCGAGAAAAGTGCAGACGGGATTCTCGACCAGGATCCGGCAGCACCTGCATGCGCTGGGGCAACATAGCTTGGACTACCGACGTCTGAGTCAGCCTCACGTCCGCCCTCGCAGGCTGTCGCATGATCTTTTCCCGGTATCGCTGCTTGTGCTCGCTTTGCTCCTTCATGGCTTTGTCAGTGGCCTGCTTGCGGGCGTGCAACTCCAAAATGCCCTCCTTGAAGTTCTTCCTCCGCATATTAGCCATCTTCCTCTGCTGGTCGCGGTATTCATAGTCCGGGTGGTTTGGGTTGAGCGAGTTCTTGTGGGGAAGAGGCGTCGCGGCGTGAATGTACGCCTCCGTCGGCTTGTCCGTGCGGCGGGCAGGGAAGATTTCACGGGGAACAGGGAGGGTACCCTTGACGCGGGGCTTAGAGGGTTGTTCGGGCTGCAGAACTCGAGGAACGTCGATGAAATTGGGAGACTCAGGTCCGACTCGCAAAGAGGCCGATGAAGCGAAGCCGCGGAACTGCACGGTAGCAGTTCTGCAATTGCGAAAGAGGGCCATGATGATAAAACAAGGTCGCTCGACTGTCTGGAGATGTTTGGGCAAGGTCAAGTCGGGGGGTTATCGGGAGGTATTTTGCTGAAGAACTCAATTGGATGGCCCACCTCAATCAACCGACAACCTGAACCGATACAGAGATCCTGAAAGGACTTATTGGCAAGCGCGGTTCTGCTGCGGAAGTCGGACAGAACGAAACGATTTTCCTGATGTTGGTCCGTGCACCGCTTAGCTTGGCGCGCGCCAATGGCAGAAAAAAAAAATTAATTTTCCCGTGCTCGAAACTTTTTTTTCTCTCTCTTCTTCTTTTCCTTCTTGCGCTCCGCCATTTTTTGTTTTACAACACTATTTTCTTGTGAACTTTTTCTCAAAACTTCTTGAGGTACTCTTGGGAGGTGTTTTCATCATGGGTACCGGAAAGAAGGAAGCCACTCGTAGAGAGCGGCAGGGGAAGACTGGAGATGGCATGGGAAATGTTCGCACCAAGGGTGAAAACTTCTACAGGTGGGTAACATGATGGCGTGAATCCCTGCTCCGGAATGCTGGACTAACATATCATGAAAGAGATGCGAAGAAGGTGAAACATTTGAATATGTTGAAGGATGGAAAGCCTCGACGTAACGCTGAGGGAAAGATCACTGTGGCTGCTTCATACCAATCTCGTGAAGCTCCGGTCGCTAGAATAGAGCCCAACCGTAAATGGTTTGGCAACACGAGAGTGATTTCCCAGGAGGCTCTGTCGTCTTTCCGCGAGGCGGTTGCCGAACGTGCTTCCGACCCCTATTCAGTCTTGCTCAAGACCAACAAGCTTCCCATGAGCCTGATCAGAGATGATAAGGGCGCCAATGGATTGAAGCAGCATGAGGCCAAGATGGCTATTGAGAATTCTCCTTTCAGTGATACCTTTGGGCCCAAGGCGCAGAGGAAGCGCGTCAAGATGGGGGTTGCCTCTTTGGAGGACCTGGCCGGCGAAACCGTCAAGATGCACGACGCTTACGTCGAGAAGACAGACCATGCTACTCATGAAGATGGTACTTTGGTTGTCAACGGTGATGATGTTGCAAAGGATGACAACTCCGGCCTGGCAACCACCGCTGTTGAGTCTGTCTTCTCCAAGGGTCAGAGCAAGCGTATCTGGAATGAGCTTTACAAGGTCATCGATTCATCCGATGTGGTACTTCATTTACTTGACGCTCGTGATCCCGATGGTACACGCTGCAGGAGTATCGAGAAGTACATCCGTGAAGAGGCACCTCACAAGCACTTGATTTTCGTCCTGAACAAGTGTGATCTTGTTCCCACAGGTGTAGCGGTACGTCTATTTCTCTTTTATGTTACTTTGTTTTTTTTTACCCCTCATTCTATCCTTTATAAAAATGGGGTTTCGGCCCAATGCCATTGCTAAGTCAAGGCTTCTCCCTGCGACCTTGTGTCGTGTTTTTCTTCCTTGGGAGTATGTCTGTTACAGCTCTGGCAGATTGACGCTGATCCGCGCCGACCTTCTTTCTGAAGCTAGGCTGACTGGTTTTCGTTTTGAATACCAGTCGTAAGGATCAAGCTGTGTTCTGTTTTTGAGTTGAGATCTGCTTCTACTCAACGAGTGGCCCATAGCAGTTCTCTTAGTAACATTTCACACATTTTCTTGCCATCTATCATTATCGTCCTTTTTGCTTATTTTTCTCTACGCTATTGTTTCCAATGCAATACCGTTGGTGTTTACTTGCTAACGTGACACCAGGCTGCTTGGGTACGACACTTGTCGAAAGACTATCCTACTCTAGCTTTCCACGCCTCGATCACCAACTCTTTTGGTAAAGGTTCTTTGATCCAACTTCTAAGACAGTTCTCCTCCTTGCATTCCGACCGCAAGCAGATTTCTGTCGGTTTGATTGGATATCCAAACACTGGAAAATCTTCAGTCATCAACACTTTGCGGAAGAAGAAAGTGTGTACCGTGGCCCCAATTCCTGGAGAGACCAAGGTCTGGCAGTACGTTACCTTGATGAAGCGGATCTACCTCATCGATTGTCCTGGTGTGGTACCAGCCAGCTCGAACGCCACTCCCGAAGATATCCTTCTTCGAGGTGTGGTTCGAGTGGAGAACGTAGAGAATCCCGAGCAGTACATCCCGGCCGTTCTCAAGCGAGTGCAGCCCAAACACTTGGAGCGTACATACGGCATCAAGAATGTCGAGGATCCTATCGAGTTCCTCAGTATCCTCGCTCGCAAGGGTGGTCGTTTGCTCCGTGGAGGAGAACCTGACCTCGATGGTGTCGCCAAGATGGTCATCAACGATTTCCTCCGAGGAAAGATTCCCTGGTTCACTCCCCCGCCTCACAATGCCGGTGGGGAGGACGAGGCGATCGAGGGTCGTGCTGGTCGGCTCGGAGAAATGAGTCGGAAGCGCAAGCTCGACGACACTACCTCCGAAAAGCCAGAGGACTCTAAGAAGGCGTCGAAAGCGAAGGCTTCTGAAACTGACAACGACGAATTCGAGGGCTTCGAGAGCGACGACGACGATGACTCGATCGCGAACCTTGAAATCAGCGATGAGGAAAGTGGCGAAGAAGACGATTAAGTGTTCTCATTGTCGAGATCCTTGTCAAAAGACTGTCAAGAACCAAGTACCCCCGATGCCGTCTGTCATCTGGCATCAATCCCGAGACGTACACCCCTGGTGGCGCATGTCGCTCCACAACTCCCAAGACGTATCCCAAGGTCTTGTCATACCTTGGCTTTGGGTGGAAGTTGAAAGCCACATGCGTCGAAGCGTCAATGACGCGAACTCGTTTGAGAACCAGAACACCGTCAGGCCTTTTGAGCCTAGCACTGGTTCCATATGAAATCCGCTGGCATGCCACCTGGACAGTTCTTAGCCAGTGCACGTTATGCTTCAGCTCGGAGAGCATTGGTTGTCAGGCCGATCAATGCCTCAGCCAACCTGATTCTCCTTATTTAAAGATACCCACTGAGTGTTTTCACACGAAGACTTCGAGCAATCCAAGCAATCAATCAATCATCCTGAAACAAGGTGGTCTGATTCAAAAAAAGACTGGTTCTTCCCACCGTAATCCACCCGTAGACACTTTTCAATAGGGCAGATTCCTCACCGCCGACGGAGCTCACGTGGGGCTACCCCAGCCTCATTTGAGAGTCTCGTCTCCGTAGCAGCTGCCAGAAGATACCTTGCATTTCCTTTATATCACGACGCATTTACCTGGGCTATTTATCCGGCCTTTCATGTCTTTGTGTGCCTTCTGGATATGCTACTCTCCCCGTGACAATGGAGGATGAGGGCATGTCCATTGTTCCCTATGGATCAGGCAATCTTGATGTCGTGCTGTAAGCCTGCTTCCTTTCGTTCCCCCTTCTCTCTTGGTTGTTCAGAGAACAGAGATCCTAACGTGAAGGACTGTCTTGCTGTAGGCGACACAATGACTCAGTTGTGGTTTATGATCGCGACTCACGGCAACTGGTTCTTCAGAACACCGGGGATCGTAGGGGCAGTGACCTCGATCTGACCGACTGTCCTTACTGCCATCGTCCTTTGCATGAAAATGGGTCACCCCAAGGTGATCATGAGAATAGCCCGGGCGCGCAGGCGGAATTTGTCAATCCAGACTACTTTCGACTGCTACATGCTAGCTTACCTGGCTCTACGGACTCGTCCAATCCTCCGTCCCCTCGTCGCCGTCTCGTTCGGCCAGCTATCGCGGACGGCCCGACTATCGATCCTAGCTATCCAGAGACCGGCGTCCATACCAGTCAGGGGATTTCGTCAGCGGCCTTTACACAGGATTACTTCAAGAAGTTCTTCGTCGAAGAGACGATTCTGGGCAAAGGCGGCAAGGGCGTTGTCCTTCTGGTGAAACACGTACTGGACGGTGTCTCACTTGGCCATTACGCCTGTAAGCGAGTTCCTGTCGGAGATGACCATGAGTGGCTTGAGAAGGTACTAGGTGAGGTACAGCTTCTACAGCACCTTTCGCATCAGAATCTTGTCTCCTATCGGCATGTGTGGTTGGAAAATGCAAAGATCACTACCTTTGGGCCCAGTGTGCCATGCGCGTTCATACTTCAGCAGTACTGCAACGCGGGGGACCTCCACAATTACATCTGCGGTGCAGTGCAGACCCCTACTACAAAACAGCAGCTCAAAGAGCGTCTGAGAAGAAGGTCAAGGGGCGGGCTTGATCCTGAGAACGATCTTGGGGCGCTACGAAAGCTCCAATTCGAGGAAATATATTCCTTCTTCAAAGACATTACTTCGGGAATCCGATATCTCCACGCCAATGGCTACATCCACCGTGATCTCAAGCCCCACAACTGCTTGCTGCATAAAACCAGTGATGGGATCCGGGTCCTAGTTAGTGACTTTGGTGAGGTCCAGGCTCAAGATTCAATTAGAAGGTCGACTGGGGCGACAGGGACTGTTTCCTACTGCGCACCGGAAGTTTTACGGCGCGAGTATCCCGATGGTCCTTTCGGGAACTTCACTTTCAAGTCCGACATCTTCTCTTTGGGAATGATTCTGTACTTTCTCTGCTTCGCGCAGCTTCCCTACAGCAATGCAGACTTAATCCACGAGGAGAAAGAGGACCTAGACCGACTTCGTGAAGAGATCAGTCAATGGTCGGGATTCGACTATGCTAGACGCATGAGGCCCGAACTCCCCGAACAGCTCTACATATTCCTTCAGCGCTTGCTGTCCGTGGACCCTGATCGCCGGCCCTCAGCAGAAGAAGTACTTAACGGTCTACAGGCTGGGGCTAATGTCAATGAAAACTTCCGCTTGAAGCGAGCCAGCCCAACCAGCCCGGATATGCGACCCAGCTCCCGGATTCACCCGGTAGAAAGTCCGTCAGCTGCATCATATACTCGCCAAGCCCTGTCGCCGAATAGGGCCCTCACGAAACCACCGCCGAGTGCACGGCGGGGTTCTGCATACGATAGTGCCAGCACGGATGCTGCTAGAGCCGATCCTACCTCCACCTCCCTTAGCCCGGAACGAAACCTCATTTTCCGCCCGCGCTTCTCGAGTACTCCCTCGTCCTCACTCACACCTGCTCACCATCCTCCTGAGGAACATCGCCACGAAGTGACCCCCCCTGACCACTCTGACACAGTCGAAGAGCCCCAGCAACAACATCTACTCCCACCGCCTCCCCCACGTCACTGGCTCTTACAGAGATACTTCCCGTTCCTCGAGCCTCTGACAATTTCCGTAGCTAACTGGCAGCTTGGAATCACAATCTTCCAACTGACCACGCTCCTTCTCAAAATAACTTCTATTTTTCAACCCTGCAGCCCGTTGACTGTCAACCCCTGGGTCGTTTATCCCCTACTGTTAGTGGCGGCGATCAACTTCCCAGCGAAAAGCTTTACCAGGCAGTTGGTCTCGCTGATGTTGCATCTCGTGGTTGTAAGTCTATGTATGCAGTTGGATGCGCTTTGTTGGAGGAGGTACAGGCGGTGATCTCGTACCAACCTGAGGGCCTTTTTCCTGGGTTGATTCTCGTATCTGGAAAGGACACGGAGACCAGACAGCGAAAGGAAGAGGGGTGACATTCGATGCTTCGGTGCATAACTTCGCATGGTGTTTTGAAGATGCGCCTGTGGCTGACGAAATTATGTGCCCATGACCATTGAATGCATTAATAGACTGTTCAGGGTAGTCACCGCAAGTAATCTCCTTCCTGCGAGCGAATCTCTCGCCGCTAGAGGCCGGGGTCCATCACAGTGGTATGGAACCTACCATAGAAAGCCTAACCTTCATCGATAGGGACAATATAATAGATGCTGTCCGATTAGTGGTAGCTCTCCAGCTTGTATAGAGTTATGACATGAAGTAGTGAAAAAGGGGCACACTTTCTTAAGCTGCTATCAGAGCAATACCACTTCACTGCACACAACAGACACAAGCTATAGTGCCGCGGCACAAGTACCCTGACCAGGGTCACGGGTGGGAAAAGCCACTTCCGCTTCCGGATTCCAGGTAATACCCGAATAATTTTCTAATAAACCCTGAATGGTTACAGCCATCTACATTGAACCTGGTGGGTGCCATGACTTCCACTTATAGAAGTCGACGCTCGATGCAGCTACTAGGTACCCCGCTACGCGGTGCTGTTCCCGTCTCATTGGTCATCTCGTATCATCCTCGCATGACCCATCTGACCAGCTCTTGTATACGCACTAGTATACTCCGTACTATACACCATCGTTGTATAAAACGGAGCTGATGGTAAACTATTGAACCTGTCTAGTTTTTTGATTTAATTCTTCCATAAGACGTGACCATCCTCTACCACCTCTCTCCACACTGACAATGGTCCCCCAGTCGGTGTTGGTCTTCTTTTTCCTTTTATCCCTGCCTTTCGTGTTCAGTTATCACATTATCTGGGGGCTTAACTGCTGGGTCATCCGTCAAAATCACCTAGAGCGCACCAGGAGAGGCTTGTCGGTGCTTTGAGTGATCTCTTCACACGAAAAAGACAATTACGGTGCCGATACCTTAATCCAAATGCATTCGACAATCCGATAGATGGGTCGCCTCAAAACTTTACGAGCCGTTGGGCACTTGATGACTGTGCTTCCTCTATACGAAACTTGGATTTGCGTACGACTTAGTATGCAACAGCCCTGAAACTTAGGCCATACAGGGCTGTTGTCGGATCGTCAGACGAAGATCGAGGTGGCTAGGGCGCTTCCAAATGAAAGATTGCGGCGCTCGGATGCTGGTCCTGGGAAGGAGAAAGGCATTTCCTTCGCGGAACTTAAATGCTCGCATCGACTCAATCTTGGCCAGGACCCGTATGCTCTGCTCACATTCTCCTTATTCCCTGAGCAATATTTCGCTGAGCACGGTGTGTTTTCCATTCTGCACTTCAGGGGGTGGACATTTCTTCAGGCTTTGTCGCGAGTGTTACTTGGTCAACACGAGAAGAACTAGGTCATGGACCTATGGATCAGTACAAAGGCCTTGCTTTGAGATCATTTTTGAATACACCTGCATCTGCGGGGCAAAGGACTTGATTCATGTACACGTTCACGGCGTATTTATCTCTATCTTCATGTGCAACTTAGCTCGCTTAAACATCGATGCATCGATCGACGGGCAACATCCGGCAAATCATAGCCTCGGCCGGATAGTCTGGCCGCCCTCCCAGGATTCTCCCGCCTCCAGCGTCTGCCACCCAGCGACGGAGCCGGCCTCGACACAGATCATGTTCTTGTAAGCCTCATCCGGACCAAAGTCGGCCATTCCCTTGGCCTTCTCGATCCAGGGGTTCCACACCACAACATCGGTCAGGGCTTCCCGGGTAATGGAGAACAGGGGTTGATCATCGGAGACCGTGGTAACCTCAATCGGAACCTTCGGATCAAGGGACTTGTACACCCGATCGGTCTCCTTGTCGATCTCAACCGCAGAAGAGGCTTCCGTCTGAACGGCACCACCTTGGGTCTTGTCGACATACTCCTTGGACTGGAGGTTCTTGACGCGGATCTGCGAGATGTCCTATATTGCCTTCTGTCAGTCTCTCCTCTCGCAAGATACTTGCACTGATCAGGGGTGTCTGAGAACGCACCTCGACGCTCAGATAAGTGTGCAGCAGAACCTGGAATTCGAAGTTCTGCTCGCCCTTGTTCTGCACCTGCAGGGATGTTTCGAGACCCTCCTTGGTCAGGGTGACACTGTACACCAGACCAAACTGGTAGGGCCACGCCTTCTGAAACTCCTCGCTCAGCATGGGGTGCGACAGCCCGAAGTCCAACTTGACCGCGTCATCTCCTTCCTTGCGGTCTTTTCCGAGGGACTCGGACGAGGACTTGCCCAGAAACTCCCAGTTCGAGTTCCGTGCGAAGCCGTGTTGCGGGAGGGAGGACGTAGCGTGATTCGAAGGGGGAGGGCCGAAAACCTGCAGTGAGCCACGGCCGCGGCACCCGTTTAGACACCAGTTGTTTAGTTGGGGGATTGGGTGTCGCTGGGATTGGACCTACCGGGAAGACCACGGGGATACCACCGCGGATGGGCTTGGAGCCATCCAGGTGAGCCGTTTCGCTGACGAACAATTGCTCCTTGCCATTGGCAAGCTTCCAAGATGTGACGGTCGCTCCATACAGGTGAACGGTGACCGACTCGCCAGTGGGCAGGGTGGCCTGGACCTTGTTGTCGTGGAAGTTGACGGTGGGCTGAGGGATGGAGGCACCCACCCCGATGGCGGAGGGCTTGTTGGAACGGTCCATCTTTGTAAATGGAGAATGTATCAGATGATATTTGTTTGGGGGGAGGGACTAGTCAGGAAGGGTGACTCGAATGCGTAGCAAGACAGCGTTTCTCTCTCTTCTGTCTGTTCTTCAATGCGGGGGACTGTTGTTGGATGCGCCTGAACGGGCGGGGCAGCAGCGTCACCGTGGGGCCCTTCTCGGCTTAGGTCAGCATACAGCTATGCGAATAACCTCTTGCCTATTTTAGAATTATGCTACATAGTGCAGGACATTCAGGGCGCTTTATATTGTTAGCAAAACAGACATGATGCCTCCATTGGAACCAGCTTGGACGATATTGAGACTGCTCACAAGGAAGACTGGAGCCTTTCACTACTGCTGTTTCAGTAGCATGAGTTATCAAAAGGAACGACTGCTGCTATTGTTGATCCACCCAGCATATTAACCCATCCGCAGTCTCGAAAAAGTGACAGACGTCCGATCTGGCAACATCTGCTCCTTGTCTTCAAGAGCTTGCAAGAGTCCATTATGACTGGTCTGATACAGCTTAAGGCATTTCTGAAAATATAGGCTGAGAAAGTACAGTATCTTGATTGGAGCAATCGTCATCAGCAGCCAAAATGGTTGATGATTGCACCATCAGAGCCCGCGCGGGGTCGGTGTTGACATTACACCTACTTCAAAAGCACCGAAGATGCACTGCACTTTGATCACATTCCCCTGAATTGCTCGCTGTGATAAAGCAGTATCTCATCGATCAACGTCGGCCCAACATGACGACCACTGTGACAGTCACCGCTCAACAACCTGATATTCAGTACGCCCCCGACGTGGACAATTGGCATGCTCGCACTGAGCGTCGCTTACGCACTGAGACCCTTCCTACTGAGCTTCCTTCTGGCTTTCCGGCAAAGCTTGAGTCAGATCTAGTCTGGGAGGGCAAAGACATCGCAGAGCGGTATAACTGGACTTACGTCCTGACCGAGGCGAATCTCGAGGAGATTGACGCTGCAGTGCGGCATTTCAAGTGTACATGCTCCCTTAATCCTTACATTGCAGATTAAGCTCTTTGAATACTCTCTGACACTGCTGCTTATAGCGTTGAACAAACCCCTTGGCTTCATTGATCCAGGGACCTTCCCTCTACCTGCGCTGCACTCAACGTTACGTGATATCTCGCGGGAGCTTCACAACGGACACGGATTCAAGGTTGTCAGCGGTGTGCCGGTCGACAGGTACTCGCGCGAAGATAACATCATCATTTATGTGGGACTCGCCGCACATGTTGCCCCGATCCGCGGGCGCCAGGACTCGTCCTATGACGGTACGCCAGCAGACGTGATGCTCAATCACATTAAAGACTTGAGCACCCAAGAGCAGAGCAAAGGCCGCATCGGGGCGCCAGCGTATACCACCGACAAACAAGTCTTTCACACTGATGCGGGAGATATCATCTCCCTGTTTGCGCTCGATACGGCCGCGGCCGGCGGCCAGAGCAAGCTAGCCAGTAGCTGGCGGGTGTACAATGAACTGGCGGAGACGAGACCTGACCTCATTCGTACGCTCGCAGAGAAGTGGACTCTTGACGGGTACTGCATCGCTTTTATCAATTAAAGTGAAAAGACGAGGGTGCATTTGTGCTGACTTTCTGGTGGCAGATTCGGCAATCCTCAGAACCCATATCACGAGCGCCCGTTACTCTTCCATCAGGCAGCTACTGGCACGCATCCTGAGCGCGTCCTGATTCAATATGCGCGACGCAGCTTCACGGGATTCCAGGACCTGCCCAGGTCCAAGAATATTCCTCCAATCACTGAGGCGCATGCGGAGGCCCTCGATTCGTTGCACTTTTTGGCCGAGAAGCACGCAGTCGGGCTTGACTTCCGCAAGGGTGACATTCAGTACATCAATAACCTGAGCATCTTCCATGCTAGAGATGGGTTTCAGGACACCCCGGAGCAGCAGTGAGTATCCACCTTCTATGGTACAGGCTTGTTTTTTTTTAGCAATCGGCTGATAGACTATCAAGGCGCCATCTTGTCCGCCTTTGGCAGCGCGACCCCGAGTATGCATGGGAAACCCCCGAGCCATTGGTTGGAACTTGGAAGCAGCTATATGATGGAGTTACACCTGAGGCTCAGGTCTTCCCTCTGGAGCCTTATATCAGGGGCTCAGCGGCTGGGGGCAGAAAGGAGTAAGCATGTGTGGGATGGTGCTGGATGATCTCATCGCAGGCTAGCATTCTCGTTATCTCTCAGACTTTACTAGGATATATACATCAAGAGCAATGTGCAACGTTGTCTAGTATGTGCAATTTTGATTGTGGTGATATGCAGCCCAGAATGGTAGAAAGATTCTCTGGTTGTGAAGTATCCAGGGCAGAACATGGGCGAGCTACTGGGCATGTCCATAAGAACTTGGTTATGACCTACCAAGTATAGATTGTAAATAATATATCACACCTCTAAGGTCTTTTCATTGGATTGTCTTTGTAAACTTCCGGCGTCTGTAGGAATACCGCACAGTCTATGTCATTTGGGGTAATACCCACGCGGAAATAGGGTCTCGTCTTTCCCATGGTACGGACAGAAATTGCTAGCCCTACAATTCATATCAGGCTCCACACTTTTTTACGTGGCTTTTTCTTCCTCTGCAAATAAACTTTTCTTAAGAAAGAAATCTGTTCTTGTCGCAAATCTCAATACCCTTGAATCTCGCCTACAGTGGCAGGCTTTACTTCCGACAGCCCCATACGACCTTAGCAGCGTTCGACCGAAGTCGCGATAAATCCAGCACATCGCAACTCAAATGCACGAAGCACCCCCATAAATCGAAGCGTACACGCAATTGAGGACTTCCTATGATCAAAGACGGTTAAGGGGGGTTTTTTTATCAAATTAGGTTCGCGATAGATGGTTCCTTGGTGGCAAATTGAGGTGAAAATTCAGTTCCAGGGATCTGCATAAGGCCCGTTGAGTTATGGACCCAATAACTACAACGGCCCAGATGGTCCAGTGGTTCACAGCGCCAATCTTCTAGTGGTTAGGATCCAACCTTCCCATTCTCATAGGATTAGGTTGGGACGCGAGTTCGAGTCTCGCTTGGCGCATTTCTTTTTTGTGTTGTTCGGCTCTGATCTAAGGCCGCTGATAGAACCCTCGTGTTTAGGCTCTTTTTTAAATCTCTTTGCAGTCTACAGAGAGTGCTTTTGACTTATGTCATTGTATACCTAGGCGAGGTGGTTGAATCAGATAAATGTATATATCCGTGCCTAGGAACATGCGCTGCTCGATAGGTTTTGCCCTCTCATGGTTGGCTTTCATCTATATATTTTGGTGCCGCGGGAATCATCTACAATAAACAACCCTTGTCATCGGCACGAAATGGGAATGGCAGCTTACGACAACGGCATAGCACCCTTGAGACGTGCATTGTCGAATCTAATTGGAGTCACGCTTGAATATACAGCATGGTCATACCTCATTAGCCACCCTGGTTGCCTTCTCTCCAATCGCACAACCGGCAATCCCTCGATTGAACCTTGAACCTCCCGCCCAACCGTCCAAAGCACGGCCACAAGAATGACCGGCCGGGGAAGCGAACAATGTACGCATTGCACTTCCTTCGAAAATCCACCTTGAATATAGAGCAGATGTGCAATGTCCTGTGCCTGGCACCTGAATCGCTAGTCAGGTCGAGAGTCGAGTCCCCCCCCTTCAACAAGCTGTCCATCCCCTTGCGTCCTGTCGCCAACTCAGGCAAGGAATTCCGGTCTCTCCGATGCAGCATGTAATCTCATTATCTCCCTCGTTCTGAGCTCTGCATGTGGCGTCCTCGGAGTCTCTGCTTCACGTGCCGATAACATGGCCCTGCTGTGCAAGGGCGTGCAAGGGCGTGCAAGGGCTCCTCCTGTGGCCGATGCGTTGCTATCTATATATGTCTCTCAGCCGCACACCATCTGGCCCGCTGGTGTGGTATGCACCGTCGAAACCACGGCGGGCGGGTTAAGGAGCACTGGGGACTACCCCGACTCTGAGAAGAAGACGACATGGGTGACTTCTCACCTCCCCCCTATCAGCTCCTGTCCGAAGCAATTATATTCTGGAGCGTCGCAATCGTGCTATACATTGGCAGGATGTAAGTACCAAGAACCCCCATCACGTGAACTTGAACAGGGTATGGTTCCTTCACAGAGCCCTCACTGACCTACGAAGAGTTTCCCGTGTCATCGCAACCGGTTCGATCAAGCGCCTGTACTGTATGACGCAGCCAAGACTGTCGAATGATCGTGAGCACTAACGCGCCTGATACAGTTGAGGACTATGTGATGAGCGTCACGTTTGTAAGTCCGAGGCCCGTGCAAGGACGGAGGAGCAGTTGACTGACGGAATGGGTGAGGCAGTTGGTTTATACAACGTTGCTGGTTCTGATTCAAGTCTCCGCCCGCTATGCGTCCAATCTCTTCGATCCGGCACAACATGATGAGATCATGTCCAACCCACAAGAAGTGCGTGATCGTATCTTTGGGAGCAAGATCGTCATTGGCCTCGAGCAGTGCATGCTATTCTCCACCTGGGGAGTCAAGATCTGCATGCTGACCATGTTCTGGCGGCTCACCCAGAATTTCCGGCTGCTGCGCATGTATGTCAACATGATAGCCGCATTCATTGCCGTCGGCTTCCTCGCTATCATGGTCACGTACTATGCCGTCTACTGCCGGCCATTCTCGCAGTACTGGGCCATGCCGGTGCAGGACATGCAATGCGCGACCTACCAGAACTACTCCATTACCCAAGCGATCTTCAACGTCTCCTCCGATGCTGCCATGCTCGCGCTGCCATTTCCTCTGCTGCGGAAGGCTCAGATGAGGAGGGGGAAGAAAATCATGCTGGCGGGCGTCATGAGCTTGGGGGTCTTCACCATCGCCGCTGCGATTCTCAACAAGGTCTTCAATTTCGCTTCCCCCTTGACGACCACTTATCAACTTTGGTATATACGGGAGGCGAGCACTGCAATTTATGTCGCAAATATGGTATGTCTGTCGCCGCTGATTCGGAGGGTGTTCAGCTCGAAAATGTATCAGAAGACGAACAGGGCGCATGGCCAGCATGCTCGTTGGCATGGTATAAATCCTTCCAGCTCATCGCGTTCCACGCAAAGCAGGAGAAACCCGGGACACTGGCATCCGTTTCATCTCTCTCCTGCCCCGAAAGGGAAGTTCGACCAGTGCACCACGAGTATCAAAGGAAAGCCCGACGAGGATAATCTTGGTAACCGACGGGCCAGTGAGGAGGCTATCATAAGAACGACCGCTGGGTATCCGAGCCGGGTCCTAGACCTGCATAGAGTCCGTTCCTATCGCTCTTATGAGGTCGAAGGTCAATACACGTTCGAGGAGGGAATAGAGCTGAAGCAGATCCATATGGTAGCGTGAAATGCTAACGAGTTATTTACATCGCCTACCAGCCTCGAATTCACTCTGACGCAACAGAACTGAGAAGCATGAGGATATCAAATTTGGGATCAAGTATTTATCCATCCCGGATCCAGAACACCACGCAACGACGCCTCACGAATCAGGTCTATGTGCTATGCGAAAGCAAATCGCCACTCCCTCTGAAGTGTCCATGGTCAGCTACCTTCTTGCGCCTCACAACATCTAGCGGGAAATCACGGTCTTCACTCGCAAAAAGTTGGTTGCGCGATCTTGAAGAGGTACCTCAGAAACGCGGAACGATATCAGTACGGATCAGAACCGCCTGCGGAACCGTTGGGCCCGATCCACCACGAAGCCACCCGATGCGAGGAGCCCGAGCGTTGCAATAATCAGTCTTGCACAGGGGGCAGCACGCATGGCGGCGGGTTAGCCAAGGATCAAGACAAGACACGTGAAATATATGACCGCACGTCAACGGACGAATGTAGTCTGGCCCGTGAAACTCTTCCATGCAGATAACGCACTCTCTGCTGGAGTCTGCCATGTCGAAGCTCTCCCCTGTACCCGGGGAAGCCTGCATGATGTCAAAACCAGTAGGGGTTGTCTCGCCACCACCAGAGACCGGACGAGGTGCATCGGTAGACATGTCCTCGGCGCGTGGGCTGTCGTTGACCGGGGCGATTTCAAGGACAAAGACAGAGGTAGTATCAGCTGCGACGGAAGAAACCCTCGCCTCGGTGGTCTCCTTCGCGGGCATGCACCTGGTTCTGGCACTGAGCCAGTCACTAAACCTCATCTGCGGAAAGCATCGCTCCACGTCATGGCTAGAGATGACCGCGCGGCTGGAGCCCAAGGGAGCAGTCTCAGCATCGTTGCTGTGCAGGTTCCGGGTACGCTCGCGGCGTCTGACCTCCACGCAGATCCTTTTGTTTTGATGCATCCAAGTCAAAATCCGGACACCCACTAAAGAAGAAACAAATGACAGATGGAAACACGATCCACATACCAAGCAATAAAGACGAAGAAGGCAAGACAGACGGGGGCCAAGTAGCCGAGAATGGCGGCCGACGAGACGTCAACCATGGCTGATGCTGGGTCACCTTGCATCAGCTTTCTCTAAAGGCCAAGCTAATCAGGGTGCGCCTAGTTCGCCATCTCGTGAGCAACCGACAGGACAGGATATTGATCACGGAATCAATCATGAAAGCCATGTACATACCTTGCAACTTGTGTGAAGCGGTGAGGACGGTCGTTTTCTCCGGGAAAGATCGAGGAGTTGTAGATAGATGCTACCAGAGGCGTGCTTGTTGTACATGCAACTCACAAAGATCTCTCAAAGCAGCGGAATAAATTTGATAACCACGAGAGAAAAGGTGGAGAGGCAGATCGCAGATAGCAGATAGTAAGGTAGCCAAGGGGATCGTGTTAATTTTGGCACCCCTAACCCCCACGCACGACGCAACGCAAATCAGATGATAAACCCCTATGGTCGAGCGTACATACCGACCCGGCAGTTTGGGTGCAAGACGAGTGCGTAGCAGCGCAACCTTGGCTGGAAAAATCAGTTAGAACCCTCTCAGCCCCTTCTCTTCCTCACGGATACAAGACATGGAGAATTCCTCAGTGTGCTCTTTTTTGTCCGTTGCAGAAGCAGATAAAGAAGAGAAAGAAGCCGTGTACAAAAGGCAATCCGGCATTATTTCCCTTTCCCATCCAAATGACGAAACTCTGACTGGACGGAGGAGGACTACTGCCACTTAAACCCCCCCTCCCCCAAATTCCGCCCACCGCTCGCTCGCTCGCTCTCAGCCTCCTGAAGAGGCGGGAGGAAACATGCTGTCCTTGATGCAATTGATCTTCCTCGGAGAGATTTTTTACTTGCTTCTATGGAAAAGTCTATCCACGGTTTTAGTATCTTGCTATGCGCAGATCGATAGATCGGTGGAAGTTGGCAGTGCATGCATACCTTTAGCGGGAAGTTTGGGAAGTATAAAGTCAGTAAAGTTAAGCGACACCAAATTTGGAGAATTTCTCCTCCCCCCCCCACCTCAACTGATTCTTTGTATCATTTGCGAGTAGGTCGATTTTGTTCGTTGGTCACTACGCGACAAGACAGAGTCATTCATCCTCGTGGTAATTTCAAGCCCTGCTCCGCGCGCGCGTAACTGCGAGTGCAGAGACAAGGCAGATGGACATATGTTCCTAATCTAGATAGCCAGCATTAACTATGTTTCCCTTCTCACTCAAACGGGTAATTCTTTATCTTGGTAAATCGGTCACAGACCTTTTTGAGGCTGTGACTATAGAACTAAGGCATAAGGTGCATGGATTAATACTGAAAAATGCAGAGCTGCTGCACTGCATCCATCTAGCATGGGAGGAAGGCTGTGGCTGTCTAGTCTGGGCAGCGAGCAAGAGACCGGTGTAGATTGATGCAGCCAAGGCGGTTTGTGCTTATCTGTGGCAGCAGGGTCCACTACTACTACTGCAATCGTATATGTGATAGGTATGTCCGTATGTATGGAAGCCAAGAGTTTGGCTGAGGCCTAGAAATCATGGATAGAGAATGGCTGGTCCTGATCCGTACAGTGTGGTAGAATCCCGGTCGTAGTTATGCTTCTGCTGATTTCTAATTGGGTGGGAAGAATGCTCCTGTCCTCACACTGCTTGGATTCATTCCCGGTATTGATTCGCTCTCTATCCATAGAAGAGAAGCTGGGACTTCCGTCGCCTTGTGCATAGTGCATGGTTTGATCCTAACGTGGAGAATATCCCAGGTCGGAGATTGTCATGAGTCTATAGGCACCAAGGCTCGGAAGTTGGACTTGATGATAGAATTTTGGAAGCATAGTGTGTCAATTACATGCAAATGTCATAACAAGCCCGGGTGGTCTAGTGGTATGATTCTCGCTTAGGGATTCCAAACCCAAGCATATCTGCGAGAGGTCCCGCGTTCGATCCGCGGCTCGGGCCGTTATCATTTTTGCCTGAACACTTTTTGTTCTCTTATTGTGCTCTTGAACACCTTCATTCGCTCTCCGGCTATATTTTCTGAGAAGCACCGGTTTTCTTCAGTTACATCCAACGTAACGAGAAGGAGCTAGGTCAACTACCCCCATTGAGCGCGAATCACCTGTCATAAGCCTAGATAAAATATACCTAAAAATGTGGAACCTTCTTCGTTACCCAGTCCGCTGACATAGTACAAAACCTCTTCCTAATCTGAGTATTCAGATACACAAAGGCACTGAAAACAATTTAACACTAGGATGGTGAATCAGAAGGAAACCAGAAGCAAAAACAACAAATCTTGATCTTTTCCCATCCCCCGCCAGAGACACAAAAGCAACCCCCTTTGACGCATAGAAAGATATGGGTGTATAATATAGTACCTAAGATAAATAAATACCCCCGCGGAAAAAAAAAAAAAAAAAAAAAACGCCTTCGCTATGCAAGAACACAAGAAAAGGTTCAATTTTCAACCTGTATTCCTCCGCATCGCCTCATGTGTTTCCACCCGAATATCGAACAACAGGTCGTCAATCTCCTTGAGAGATTGGCGGTCCAGCTTGGCCAATTTGACGTCGTCAAGGACCTTGCGGAGCGAGTTCGCGATCTCGGCCTCGGACTTGACCGAGGCCGGTTCGGTTGGGGTCTCGCTTTCTGCTTGAGTAGTGACAGCGCGGGATGAGGCGCGGGTTTTCTTCTTTTTCTTCTCCGAGTGCTTCTCCCGGCTCGAAGATGGTGTCTTCTGCGGCTCGGGAGCGGTTTCTGCCGTTGGGTGCGCATCGGTCATCTGGATGTTGTTGTATTCCACAGGCTGCGGATTCTCGACAGGCACTGGCTGGGTCGTCGAGGGGACTTCCTCCTGAGCTTCGGGCGCAGGTTGCACCGACTCCTCAGGCTCGTGTGTCTCCGGGTCTACCTCGGGAACCACTGTAGCATTTGAAGCCATCTGGACATCGTCGAGGTGGTCGGACACCTCTTCATACGCTGGCTCCTTTGGCCCGTCTTCTGCTGTGGTCTCCTGGGAATCACTCTCCTCCTGTATAGTTTCCGTGTTCTTGACTTTGTCTTGCTTGCGTGGACGAGAAGGCCGAGGCGATTGCTTCGACTTCTTCTGAACGGGGCTCTCCTCGGGTATAGGCGGCGCAGCTTGGCCACTTAGACGAGAAGACCTTCTCTTCTGAGACTTGTCTTGACTTTCAGAAGGCTTGTCCTTCGAGCTAACAGGCTCTGATGCTTGGCTGTTAGCGGCCGATCTAGTCGTGCTAGTAGCCTCAGACCTGGTGTCATGTTTCCGTCGCTTCGGTGCAGACTCGGCAGGCGACGACTCAAGGTCTTGCGGGGTTGGCAAGATTTCGTTGGAGTAAGTCATGTCGGCATCATCTTCCTCAGCCGCAGCGGGCGTCTTTGTGAGCCTAGAAGAGCGCCGTCTTTCCTTCTTTTGGGGCGTGTGCTCTTCCACCTCCCGTTTTCTCTTCCTCGATGGTAGGGGCTCATGCGAAGCTTCCATCGATGCTTCACCTCCCGCAACATCATCTTTATCTATGGCAAGCTCCAGATCTTGCTCCAATTGGGATGACACCTGGTCTTCCATATCAACATCATCGTTGCACAAGCCGGAGTCACCGCTGGGTTCTTCCGCCTGGGACTCGATGACTTCGACATTTTGAGGCAAGTCCTCCTCCACTTTGGGCCTAGTCTTCGGACCGACCGCGTTGGTCGAGGCGAAGGCCCTTGTGGAGGGCGTATGACGTGTCTCCTTATTGGGTTCTGTGGCAGTTCCTGAATGTTGCTTCTCGGTTGTGGATTGCAGAGGAGAATCAGAGGTCTTGCCAGTAGAAGAGCGGAGGCGTTTAGTCATAGGCTGGTCTGCGACCTCGCTAGGAGCGTCCTGAGTGACGTATTCAGTCTGATTGAGCTCAGAATTTGACTTCTTCTTGAGCTTGGCGGAGCGCCTGGCCTTCTTCTTTGCCTTCTTGCTCTTACCCGGCGTGGTCGTGGGTGTCTCAAGATTAACAGGTGTCCCGTTACTAGGATAGGAGCCAGGAGTAAGAGAGTGATGATCTGCGCAAAGTGAAGTGAGTTCTGGAGGTGATGATCGAGGCTCGGTGTCCAACAAGGAGGCCTCTGGCGCAGATGTTGGGGGTGGTGGCACATGTGAGTCGCTCAACTGCGCCCGGCCTCTTGAAACTGGAGTAGGTGACGAGCCAAGGTAGTTATATTCGTTTTCTGCCGACACAGGCGGCAAAGGAGGTGTTTGCGGGGTCCCTGCATCTGTATCCGAGTGATGCAGGTGGCGCAAGTGCGGCGGTGTCATAAAATGGATATCTCTGGGTGTATTGCTCGGTGGGGAAGAAGACCGGAGGCTTTCAATCATTGAGAACAACTCGCTGCGCTTGTTACCGTCTTCTGGGCCTGATATGAAAGGGTCTGGGTGAGGAACAGCAACATGTTGCTCGACATCCTGACTGTCAGCTTCGGAAGCTCGTTCCCGCTGAAGCTCCTTTGTGCGCACTCGTGTGACTGCACGGTCTGAGCCCCCGGTTACAGGCGACGAGTTCAAGCCCGAGTCGACCGGATTGTCTAGGATGAAAGAGATCCGTGACTTGGCTGACATGTCCACAAGGCTGTTCTTGGCTTCCTGTTCGTCGGAAGTACTCATCTGAGCGCCAGGCTTCGAAGGATTAGCATGAGTTGGCTATGGCTCGTTATGACACGACATACCTTCGATTCTTCCAAAGGTGTGGTGGCCTGCTGATGCTTGATGAGAGCTTCCAAGCTCTCCAGCGCATGGGTTATCCTTTCAGGGCGGGATAAAAATCTCTGTGAACCGAAGGTAGAATTCCAGAAGTCATAAAATCTTCTTCTTACTGATATGTGTGAAGAATCTAGACCTGCGTAGACGATATCTTCGAACTTTTGCAGGAAAGGGGCATTGTGGGGGGAAGATGCCTGTAGGATATTGAGAACAGCCGATGAGAGTGCGCGACACTATACAAGGGTTAGAGTATGTCCGAAACCCCTTGCTTCTGATACTTACTGCAGTGAGAATCCTGCTCTCCACACCACTCTCCACGCTCAGTCGCTTGTCCTCATCTTTCAGATAAATAGCCAGGGGTAGCTGAAGACTTTCCAACATGATAGACCGAACAGATGAACTCCCTGAGCCTAAGAGGGATGTTAAGGATTCAATGAAGTTCGCCATACCGCTCGTTTCTGAGGGGTCGAAATGTTCATAGGAATCCAACAGGGTGCGCCCAACCAGATCAACCAGTTTGTGGAACGGCAAGTGGCTCTCATTGTTCTCTCTCTCAAATTGCTGGTAATGGGTAATAGAAAGCAAGTGCTTGAGGATAGACGCCAATGGCAAGTAAGACTTCCGGGCACCACCCTTCATGATAGACTCGGCAAGAGGCTCAATGATCATGAGTGTGATTGCCTGGTCACTTCTCTCGGTTCTCACCACACGAATGAGGGAGTCAAGCAGCTCATTCCATACCTGAAAGTTGCGATAGTAATTCAATCCCGTTGAAAGAACTTTCACAACGTTTTCATAGTCTCTGGTAACGGATCCATCGCGTTCTCGCGCAGTCTCCATTGGGAGTGAGCGCAAAGAATCTGCAGCTGACTGTGCCGTACACTCCCAGACGGTCTGTGCCAAAAAGGGGCCCAAGGGGAAGTCAGAGTCACT